TTTTTTAAAAAAAAAAGATTTTATTTATTTATTCATGAGACACACACACACACACACACACGAGGGGGGGGTGGGGCAGAGACACAGGCAGAGGGAGAAGCAGGTTCCATGCAGGCAGCCCCATGTGGGACTCGAACCTGGGAATCCGGGATCATACCCTGGGCCAAACCAGCAGGTGCTCAACTGCTGAGCCACTCAGGCGTCCCTACTTGTCCTTTTTTTAAAAAAAAAAAATATATATAATATATATTTATTTATTTATTCATGAGAGACACAGAGAGGGAGAGGCAGAGACACAGGCAGAGGGAGAAGCAGGCTCCATGCAGGGAGCCCGATGTGGGACTCGATTCTGGGACTGCAGGATCATGTCCTAAGCCATAGGCAGATGCTCAACCACTGAACCACCCAGGTGTCCCCCACTTGTCCTTCTATACAAAGTGGAAAGTCAAAGGCACAGCTTACAATTCCACTCCTTAGGAATATTTTTCACCCTGACTCTTTCAGGGTCACACTTGTATCCTTCATGTCTTTAATGGTGGCTCTAATCTCCACCATCCTCCATCCCCCCAATAAGACATTGCTTTTAATTTACTATTTTAGCCAGTGATGAGAGCAGTTTCCAAGGTTTACACTTAGCCTTTCCTGTTATAATTCTTACCGCCCAGGCCAGAAACACAATGTGGTTTTTATTCTAGATTTCCAGTTATATATTTGGGGACTGGGGAAATGATCACCGGATACATCCACATATCCAGTGGAGGGACTATGAGCCATACCTTAGCCAGGACTCCATTCATCACTGTCCCCCAGAGGCCAGGGGGCTGATGATGCTTTTGGTCTCTGTCAGTGTCAACTCTGACCAAGTGTCCAACACGCCTCAAAATATGTGGTTGTTTCCCTTTTGCCAGTGTATGGTCACCCAGGTAAATGGCCATAAATTTCTTTGGGGGAAAGACAGAGGGAATCACTGTCGTGGTATATATCTGCCATGGTGTTGCAGGATGTTTGTTCCTAGGCTCCCAGCTACATGTTCATCAATGGGTTCTGGATCTGAAAATTGGCTCAGGTCTAGAAACAGCATGGGAGCATGACTTCCCGGGGATGGCCACCCTTGACCTCCTGTTCCTCCACTCTTGTGGGCTTTTTTTGGTTATGGATGTTAAAAATCACCCTTGTTGACTGAGTCTATTTTGCCCCTAGGGATGCTATCTTTTAGTAACCCACTCCACAACTACCTGCTGATTGGCCCCTTGGTTACCTCTTCAGTCTTGCTAGTAATCATGATAATTGTGGCTTCCTGGCTTCTTGCAGTTTTATTCTGGGGTTCCATCATCCCCATTTTCTGGAATATTAATAGCACTACATCTATTAGTCTAGGTTTGCCAGGAAGCAGACAATAAAAGTGAATTAACCATCAACAAAAACCCAAAGAATCCAATTAAAAGATGCGCAACGTACTTGAATATTTCTCCAAAGGAGATACACAAATAGTCAATAAGCACACGAAAAGATGCTCAACATTAATAACATCAGAAAAATGCAAATCAAAATTACAGTGAGTTACCACCTCACAGTCAGTAGGATGGCTACCATACAAAAAAAAAAAAAAAAACAACAAAAAACAAAAAACAGAAAATAGGATAGGGGAGCCTGGCTGGCTCAGTGGGAAAAGCATGCATCTCTTGATCTTGGGAATGTGGGTTGAGCCCCATTCTGGGTGTAGGCATTACTTAAATAAAAAATAAACTTAACAGCACATAACTGTTAAGCCACTAAGCCACCCAGATGCCCCGCCTGCACTTCCACTCTTAATGTTTGGCTAAGGCAGCGCCTGGGTGGCTCAGTCAGTTAAGCATTGGACTCTTGATTTCCACTCGGGTCATGATCTCAGGGTCCTGGGATCAAGCCCTGTGCTTGGCTCTGCACTCAGCGGGGAGTCTGCTTCTCTCATCTCCGTCTCTCTCCTCCAGTCTCTCCCACCATGCACACTCTTTCTCTGAAATAAATTAACTCTTAAAAAAATATAGGTTTGGCTAAGGCCATGGGAGACTCCTCAAGCTAAAGTAGCCTGTCAGGAGTTCAGCCCCTCCTAGAAATGGGCCTGCCTCAGTATCCCCTGCCCTCCTCAGTCACTGGGAAGGGCGGTCTTGCTGTGGAGGCACTAATGGGTTTTCAGAGCTTAGCAGCTCGAACAGGAAGCAGTTAGGCTTGCCATCGTTGGGAGTTGTGAGCGCCTCATTTTCATGGCCACAGCACCGGGGCAAGTCCTGTAACTTCTCTGAGCGTTCCTTTCATACAAAATGTGTACCACACCATTAGGACTTGAGGGATGAAAAATGTCCTAACATGCTTCCTGGCACCCCCAAACTAGGTAGCTAAGGGACCTGAACATGTCTGTTGCAGAAACGTGATTATGAGAATCTAAGACCCAGAAACGAACCAACATTTGGATGTCCTCCCTCCCTTACAACAACTTGCCATGTTGCACAAACTGTAGTCCTTCCTGCAAATGAATTTCATGTCCCTTTTTGGGAAGAGGGGTCTTAGACATAAATGTTAGCATCTGGTAATGTAGGCTTCCTTCCCTTCACTCCAGTGGAAAGTGACTCGTGAACTGAGAAAGGGGCATATGTTTGCCTAGTGAAGTAGTCACTCTCAGCAGTTAGGGTACCGTCCTCATCAGGGGACCTGGTGTCCGGGCCAGTTCTAGAGGTTCCATTGGGGTACAAGCTAGGTTTTAGCATTTGAAAGGACTAAGCTTCCAGAACAATTTCTCCTCCTGTCCTCAATACCCTTTACGTCAGAACCTCATTTCTTCCTGCCTGTTGCTGGCTAATCTAATAATCTTTTGGTTTTTCTTTTGAGGGGGGCACACAGATATGAACCAAGGATCTCTTGATTAACAATCAATTTTTTTCAAGGTTTTATTTATTTATTCATGAGAGACACAAAGAGAGAGGGAGGCAGAGAAACAGGCAGAGGGAGAAGCAGGCCCCCTGGGGGGAGGACTCAATCCCAGAACCCCAGGATTACGCCCTGAGGCTAAGGCAGACGCTCAACCACTGTGCCACACAAGTGCCCCGAACAGTCAATTTTCTACACCATGTTTATTTTATTTTATTTTTTCTACACCATGTTTAAGAGAAACAGTGGAACCACACCAACATCTAACATCCCTACTAGAGCTCAAGTCTTGGAATTTACCAGAACCTTTCTGGAAGTGCTGCTTTAACCTCATGGTGGCATTTTATTTTTTCGTAGTGCTGGCATTTTAATCAGATGGCAGGGTCTTTATCCAGGGGCAGATATTCCCTCCTTCATTCCAGGAACAAGTGGTCTGCCAAGCCCCCACTTCCATTAACCCACAGTCCATCGAACCACTGGCAGCTCACAGAGCTTAGCTTACATAACAGAAAACCTCCAGGTCTTTTTACCCAATCATCTGTTTTTTTTTTTTTAATTTTTTAAATTCATTTATTTATGATAGAGAGAGAGAGAGAGAGAGAGAGAGAGAGAGGCAGAGACACAGGCAGAGGGAGAAGCAGGCTCCATGCACCGGGAGCCCGACATGGGACTCGATCCCGGGTCTCCAGGATCGCGCCCTGGGCCAAAGGCAGGCGCCAAACCGCTGCTCCACCCAGGGATCCCTACCCAATCATCTGTTAAGTGAAGTTCTGAACTTCCTTTGTTTTCCTCTCAATGGGGAACATTTCCTTTTAACCAAATCCAGATATTATTAGTTTCGGCCCATGTCCAGCTTCTAGGTGAGCCTTTCTGCTTAGTATAGCCATGTTTGGATAAAGCTACTGTTACTTTTTCAGGGCGATGGTGAGGGTCCATGGCATCCATCCTCACTTCCCATTTCCACAGCAGGTTCTTCCCTCCCTCAGCCAACTCCGCACCCTGCTTTCTAATCAATAGATCAGGATGGGACTTAGGGGATAAACAGAAGCAGTTGTTACCAACACATCGAAGTTGACTCATTAAAAGACAAGGACACACAAATGTCTGTTTCCAGGATTTCACGTGGCAGCCAATCGGACATGGGAAATGAGTACTGTGGGAAAGAAAAATATGGCATTGTCTTTTTAATCTTTTTATTATTTTTTTTAAATTTTTAAAATTTATTTATGATAGAGAGAGAGAGAGATAGAGAGAGAGAGAGAGAGAGAGAGGCAGAGAACAGGCAGAGGGAGAAGCAGGCTCCATGCACCGGGAGCCCGACGTGGGACTCGATCCTGGGTCTCCAGGATCACGCCCTGGGCCAAAGGCAGGCGCCAAACCGCTGCGCCACCCAGGGATCCCGGCGTTGGGTTTTTAACACGGGGCTTCCTTCCTCCCTGGGACTTGTGTCAGTCATTTGCTGTCGAAGGACCAGGCCCCAGGACAACAGCACAGTCCTCCTGGAGTCTGGTATACTCCATTCGCTGTTCAGCTGGAAAGCATTTTCAGCCTTTCCCATCTAATCCCAGAACCATGATTTATGGCCACAGAAATTCCTGAACTAAACAGAACAAAGACACCGAGGCAAGAGGCCAGAACTGTGCTGAGCAGGAACCCAGAGTCCATGCTTGCCCAGCGCTGCAAGTCACTGTACTGTGCTGCCAAAGACTAAAAGAAATAAAAGGGTAAGTTCTCCCCTCCTCCCACATTACAGTTTTCTGGATTCAAAGAAAGTACCAAGGAAGCCAGTGGGCAAAGGGAGTCTGGGAAATGTAGTTTCCAAGATTAATCCCCTTGGATCTAAGAGCAAACAGACAAATAACCAACGTAGGCAAGTTCTTAAGCAAACACAGTTTCCCATTAGCAACAGAAGAGAACTGCCAGTTAAATCACCTCATCAATTTAAATAAGATGTTTACTTCAGGTCCAGAGACCATCCTGTGTAATTCAGACCCAGTACTGCATGAAATGAAGGAGTCTCCCAGGCTGAGATTGTACCACTTTCCCAAGAGGCAGACATGTTCCCGCCTCTGGCAGTCAGACAAGACACCAGGAGCTCTTACACACGGCAAATGCTTTATTTTCATATTAACATGTACACAAACATTAAAACACAGAACATGAACAGAGATCCCACGGCCTTGTTTGTCAAAGTAGGTACAAGGTATTTTAAGTCTCCTTAACTCCAAACTCTCAAATGGGAAAACCACCTTAGAGACAGGGGTGAGGCAACATGTTGGGGCAGAGCCTGGTGCTGCAGGAGAGCCCAGGGCTGGGGTCTCCAGACGTCCTCCCTTGCAGGCTGAAGGGAGCAGGGCTAGGGTGGCTGGGGGCAAAGTCTTTTCCTTTGAAGAAATCAGTTAAAGCTACATCAATTTGTTTCTTAAGCACTCATATTTACTGGAGGAATGCAAGAATTGGCAAGACCTGAGATTCACCTAACTTCTGTGGTAACAAGTCCCTTGGTTCCTATGCTCGGGGGAGCCGATCAGCATCAGCTGAGTGTACTTTCAGCCCGAGTCTCATCCTAAACCCGCTCCAGGTTTTGTCCCAGCCAACTGCATAGTCTCTAACAATCTTCTGAAACCAGAGGAGTTCTGCTCTTTAATCCAAATCCCTCTCTGCCACTGATGCTCTAAGCCCGGGTAGTCATTCTGAATCATCAACATATTGAAAGGAGTTGTCTCTTCTGAGAAAAGGAAGTTCTTTCCCAGGCTCTGGAAACTGGCTTTTGAAAGATGTATTAAAATAGGAGGACATTCTTTAAAAGGCACAACTACAACTTGGAACTCTGGGGAAATCTACTGCAATAACCCCTTGGCTGGTGAGAAATGCTGGCAATAGCTCAGGAGGTGCCAGGCCGGCACTGTTTTAAAATTAAAAAAATAACATTTCCAGAACAATTATTTAAGAAAGTCACACTGTGGGCCATACTGTTTCTAAGAACAGGGCACTGACCCCCATACCTGAGGCCTGTTCTGTTGTGGACTGTGGCTTAGCAGAGTAGAGGTAGGCAAAGCGAAAGACAAGCGAAAGTGAACCCTCTACTGGAGAAGTGCAGCTCACGATGGTGGACAGTCCACGGTTGGAATAAGAGCTGGCAGGCTTCTCCTTGCAATCCACACCAGCTTCCAACCTCTATTATCTTCCTGAGCATAACTATTTTTCTAACAACACTTCTTAAAAAAGGTTAGGAAGGGAGGCATATCAGAGAAAGCTAAAGCCAAACATCCGTTTCACATGAGGAAGGCTCTACCTGGGAACTCTAAAGATGCTCAAGAATAGACCTCTTACTTTTAGAGGTTGGCTCTACTCAGGAACTCTTTCAAAAGGGAAGAGACATGCCCTTCTCCTGTTTTCAGGGGTGGTCTAAGCAGCTTCTCTTTTTGTAAGCTTCTCTTGGTTAGCCCTTTGCTCTTGATCTCTTTTACTAGGAGACTCGAGTAAGAGCTTTGACATATCACTCATCTTTTCCTAGTGTGAGGGAAAAGGAGTGGTTTTTCAGGGCATTCGCTTATATAAAACCAATCACGAAGTGCCACGCTACGTAGAAAAAATGAGGCTTCTCCACTGCTCAAACAACTGGTCCCTTTCCTTGGCTCCTACAATGTGATGAACTTAATGCACTCAGCATTAGGAAAGGGTAAGATTATCAGCTGCCTCCATCTCCGGCCTGGCCAATATCCTGGCACTGCACATCTGGAGTAGATCTGTTGCTGCCACAAAGCAGACCAGATGTGTTCTACCACACACTTCTGCAGAGATGAGACCAAGTTACTAAAAGGTTGTCAACACACAAGGTCAGAAATAGAGCAAATTCTTCACCAGGTTGTAGAGTGCCCTCTTGTGTTCAACTGAAGACTCTTCTGCATCCATGGTGCATCCAAGCAACATGAAGATGGTTAGTCCCTTCTGGGATATAAGCATTCATTCCCAAGTCATAGCGCTCAAGTGACCAGACCACTTAGGCGGGTGTCACATCCTTCAGAAAATGCTTGGCGTACTCATATCCTAAATGAGGTCCAGCAGAACATCTGATCAGAAATAGAGCTTCCCAACAGATTCACGAAGGATTTTAACCCAAGACATGAATAATGTAGATGGGAGTACCCGTCACTTTTTCGATGGACGCTGCAATTATACTGTAGTGTTTCAGTGACCTGGAGTCTTAGAGTTACATCAACCCAAAGGAATCATGATCCCAGAAGTTCTAGACCACAGGTAATAAGCAGAAATCTTGGTCAGGGCTTCTAGCTGCTAGTAAACATCTGATATAAACCGGCAGCATGCCTGCTAAGTTCCAGACACGGTCACTCCCACCTATAGATGTGGACCACCTTCTCTGTTAAGGTAGCTAAGTAGCTACTGTGGTTCACCTCAAATGGGCAGATGTCCAAGACAGGCTGGCCAGCCTGCAGTTCCTGCAGCAACGAGCCACTGCCAGCATCCCACAGCTAAAAAAGACAGAGATAAGGGTCAGGAGTCATTCAATTCAGCCTGGGGGACTTGCTTGCTTTATCATCAAACAACTTTGTGGGTTTTTTAAAGGTTTTTATTTAAATTCTAGTTAGTTAACATACAGTGCAATATCAGTGTCTGGTGTACGATACAATGATTCAACAGTTCCATACAGCACTGGTGCTCATTCCCAAGTGCTCCTCCTTAATCCCATCAGACAACTTTCAAAGAGCTGCAGAGAGCACTGCCTGGGGAGTAAACCAGACCGTCCATAACCTTCACAAAGCCAGGATATGCAGCATAGTTTAGGTGTGGCCTTTGCCACTGTAATTAGCAAAGAGTCTACCCATGAGAGGATCCAGGAACCAAGTCTAGCATTCAGCCCTTCCATCAAGATGCCTGCAACTCTTCTACGGAACAGAAGAGTCAATAAGACAAAAAGTCCCTGCCTCTGCCCTCACGAAATCTTCTAACTAGTGCTTATCCTTTTCAAAAACTTCTTACGAAAAAAATTTTAATAATAAAAAGTAGGGTAGTTCAATGAACTACCAATCACCCAGATTATTAAGCCTTTTACCACATCAGCTTTACTAAGTCTATATATATATATATATATATATTTTTTTTTTTTTTCTTACTTCATATCATTTTACCCTTATTCTATAGTGGTGTTATCCAATATGGTGACCACTAGCCACATAAAGCCATTTAAATTAAAATTTAAAAATTAAGTTCTTCATTCACACTAATCACATTTCAAGTGTTTATGTGGCTAGTATAACTTTATCAGTCAGCAGTGCTCCAAAGCTTCATTAGATTTAGGTTCAAGGGCATCTTATAGAAGGTGCCATGAGCTTCTTACTGTCTTATATTAAGAGGCAAATTATTTGTTAACCCACTTACAGTGAGGTTAATGTTGATCAATGTGTTCAGGTCATGACAGACTGACTCTTCCATTGTACAATTCCCCATCAATCATTCATCTGTTGGTTTCACCCTGAACTGATGAAACTGGTACCTGAATCAACTAATCAATCAATCAATCAATTAATTAATTAATTAAAAAGATTTGATTTATTTGAGAAAGTGAGAGCACAAGCAGGGGGAGCCAAAGAGGGAGACAGAAGAAGGCTCCCTGCTGAGCAGGAAGTTGGACTCGGGGCTTGATCCCAGGACCCCGGGATTATGACCCAGGCCGAAGGCAGATGCTTAACCAATTGAGCCATCCAGGCCTCCCTGAATCAATTATTTTATAGGTGTTTCAGTAGTTCCTTATTATTATTATTTTTTTAAGATTCATAAGATGGGGGATGCCTGGGTGGCTCAGTGGTTTAGCATCTACCTTCGGCTTAGGTCATGATCCCGGGGTCTCAGGATCGAGTCCTTCATCAGATTCCCCGCAGGGAGCCTTCTTCTCCCTCTGCCTATGTCTCTGCCTCTCTCTCAATCTGTGCCTCTCACGAATAAGTAAATAAAATCTAAAAAAAAAAAAAAGATTCATAAGGCAGCCCATAGAACACTATAGCTCATGCAAAAAAGAATGAGGTGGATCAATAGATACTAAAATGAAAAGAAATCTATGCTAGAAAGTTAAATGGGAGAAGAGCAAATTACAGAGCAGTATGTAAAGTGTGACTTGGATAAAAATAAGCAATCCTACAGACACACACACATACACACACACACAGAAATGTGCAATTATGGAGAACTTTGGCTTTCTGCTCTGTACATTTCTATATAAAAAGATAATAGGCTCACCAAGGCAGAATTTGATGCTTCGTCCCCAGTACACACCAGGATGCTGCCATCATTCTCTGGGTTTTGGAAAATGGCACTTTTGGTCAGTAGTTTGCAAGTGGGTCCCCCAAGGAACGTTTGTACAGGATGGCAGATACAGACTGGCTCTCCAGCATCATCCAACTTGTAGGACATCTCCATCAGCACACTTCGTAAAGTGTTGTGATTTTTATCTACGAGACAGAGAAATCAATGTTGCTCCATGGGGATGATCCAAAGAAACTCATGAAGTACCTGAACCTCAGATGCTTACAGACTATCTGAGTGGAAAAGCCACTATTTATTAAACCAACAAGAAGAGCTACAAAGCAACCATAATAACAAGAACAAAATAATACAGCACAAATGAAATTCAGAACCCCTGGCTAAGATAAAGCAAGTTATTTTCAATAGATTTTTGCCTATGGGGGAAATAGTTCTGAGCCTAAGCTATCCTTTTTTTTTTTTTTTTAAAGATTTTATTTATTTATTCATGATAGAGAGAGAGAGAGAGAGGCAGAGAGACAGGCAGAGGCAGAAGCAGGCTCCATGCAGGGAGCCCGACTTGGGACTCGATCCCGGGACTCCAGGATCAAGCCCTGGGCTGAAGGCGGCGGCGCTAAATTGCTGAGCCACCTGGGCTGCCCCTAAGCTATCCTTTTTAGTGAAATCACTATATCCTGCCAAACCCCTGGCTCAGGTTTTTATCTTCCTTAAGGGCAACAGAAGACAAAATTGCATTGAGGGTGACTCACTGGCTTGAATTTCATGACTGTTCTAAATCACAGGGGCTCCTAAAGAGGCCAGCTCACTCCACAGAGTACCTGGTGGATTCCTCACGCAAGTGAGGAGCAGAGGAAGGCTCTAGGGAGGAAGGTGGGGCCACCATCTTTTTTTTTTTTTATAAAGATTTTATTTATTTATTCATGAGACACACAGAGGCAGAGGGAGAAGCAGGCCCCATGCAGGGAGCCTGACGTGGGACTTGATCCCAGACCCCAGGGATCATGACCTGAGCCAAAGGCAGACGCTCAACCGTTGAGCTACCCAGTTATCCCGTAGGTGGGGCCACCATCCTGATTGCAGTAGCAAGAGCTGTTAGTCTGTGAGGGGTTTCTTGGTGCTACCTGAAGGGCAGGGCAAACTCTCCCTCTCTCCCTTGAACCAATGTGCTCCCAGATAAACCACAGAAAGTCCGACCAGGACATCCTAACACTCACCAGGCCTATAGGTCACAAGACAGTGCCGTGTGCTGCTCTCTGTCTGAAAGTCTACATAGCCCCCTGGCTCCATGGGCAGCATATGAGGCCAATGAGAAAAGCCCATTTTTAGCTCCCAGAAGGAAGCGTTCTCCAAAGTTCCAGCCAACACCCCACCATATGGAAATGCAGATGAGGCAGCTCTGGGTATGTAGGATAGGGACACCAGCGGGCATCTGGAGGGAAAGAAAGAAAACTATGTTTCACATTCCAGTACTTGTACAATTCCAGACTCCAGACCCCAGTGTCAGGAGCCCCCGAGCAGTCCTACCTTTACAGAAGAGGTTAAATAAAGACCTTCTGTGGGTCACTATCCTTTGACTTTGGATCAAAACTACCAACCTACTCTAACAGTACAAGATCACAAATCCAAGAAGCTTGACTGGTGTGAAGCTCCTAGTAAAGGGGTTGGCCACAGACACAAGTAAAGTCAGAAAGGAAACGCAGAAAAAAAAAAAAGGAAACGCAGGTCACACATCTAATAAAGAGCTGTAGCTGACAGATCCTTCAATTAAAATATAGCCTGAGGCAATTGCATTTTTCTTTTTAAGTAATCTGCACATCCAACATGGAGCTCCAACTCAAGACCTCAGAGATCAAGTCATGTGCTCTTCCAACTGAGCCAGCCAGGTGTCCCTGAAGCAACCACATTTTAATTCAGAAACAAGATTGTTTCTTTAGACATATTCTAAATCTCTTTCTGCAAGCATATGACCAGAACTGTATGCCAAGAATTCTCTCAGAAGTTATTAGCCTGCCACTATATTCCTATGAACTTTGCTTCTGCTGAAGTTGCCAAAGGGGTCACTTGGTCTGCTTTCTTTCATTGCCCTGTCACAATGAAGCAAACTAAAGCAGAAATGAACATTACATACAAATACCCTTTCCTTGCTATTTGCTCCATGTTCTTGCCTACTCCGTCTGGATCCCTCTACATCAATGGCAGTTAGCATGTTTGTTAGGAGTTGACATCTGTAAAAGTTTACATCAGTTGTCTTTAGGCCCGCATAACTGAAGCATGAGTCTACCCCACCCAAATGAAAAGACTCCAAAGTGCTGAGCCTAGGTTTAGTAACCAATTACTATATCGTTACTATAGTGGTATCTTTCTGTTTAGATCCCCTGCCCCCCTTTTAAAATATATTCACATTGGAAATAGAAATTCTCTTTTAAGATACTTCTCATTTTGGCCTAAGTCAGACTCCACCACTTCTCCCTTTGAGAAATTTATGCCTTTAGGAGAGTATTACACCCAAATGGTACTCAACACATTCTGAAGAGTCATAGTGGTGCAGGTGGTCACCCATCCTCAGAATTTGGGCTGACTCTAAAAATCGCCCAATTCTGTAACTGGATTATAAATGATAAATCATAGTAACATGGTATATCTTTAGACCAAGTTTGTTTAGCTGGAGGTTAGGGAAGTTTTAAATCATTTTTTTATAGGCCTTTTACTGATTTCTTCCTCTGCAATAGCTGTAACAAGCCAAGAAACGTGACAAAGGTCACACAGCTCCTATGCAGTAGAACCGGGTTTTGAACACAGATCTGACTTCATTTTGCCATGTTGGGTGATGAGTGACTGTATGAACCTGGCTATACTTGGTACTAGGACTTTCTACCATGTAGAAATATCATGAACACATACAAAGGATCTTAGGGAGTCCAAAATGAGAAGACATCACTGCACTCAGAGAACTGCCCTCTGTGAGAAATTCTGACCAAATGTAAACATTCTCAAAAGAGAAGATTCATATCCAACGGAAAGCTGCTACCTACAGGGAAAAATAAGTAGCTCCCTACCTGGCTTTCTGGGGTGCTAACTCCTGGATATGAGAGCTCGTGTTTCGAAGGTCATAGAGCAGAATCGAACCATTGACCAGTCCGGCATAGATGTGATTACTTTCATCAAGACACCAGCAGCAGCTCCAGACAGGACGTCCTGCATTATATGTCTGGACCACTGTATTTGTCTCCAGGCTGTGGAGATATAAGACTTTTATAATTACGCATTAAGAAAATCAAATATATAACAAAGATATAAAGATTATCATTTCACTGATAATCTTTTTAAAAAACAGATATTTATTTGAGAGAGTGAGAGAGTGAGCACAAAGGGGGGGGGGGAGTGGAGGTCAGAGGGAGAGGGAGAGGCAGACTTCCTGCTGAGCAGCAAGCTGAATGTGAGGCTTAATCCCAGAACCCTGGGATCATGACCTGAGCAAAAGGTAGACACTCAACTGACTGAGCCACCCTGATGCCCCCAATGATAATCTTAAGAACATACGCACACATCCAAACTATTTTGGGATTTCCAATTTTCTCTAGGGATTGCCTAGTAACCCCTTTTAATTACAAATTATTTGTTTTGGGGGATGTAAGTTTTCCTCTTGAAATGTAAGGAAAATAAAATAAGTTAAAAAGGTATTTAAACAGCACATTCTCCACTCTACCTCAATTCTCCATAATTATCTATAATATAGGTATTCAATGCTAAAATATTCAATGCTAAAAAATTAGAATATACCTACAAGAAAAACAAAACTAACTACCCATAACTACCCAGAGGTAGTCATTAATATCACTTTGGTCTTTAACCTGCACTTTTTTCACCTATTTTTTAACACCACTAGGAAAAAACACAACACATACATAAATATAAAACAATGTTATATTGAGTTTTGGGGCTAACTAAGCTGAAGCATTTTTTAAAAAAAGATTTTATTTATTTATTCATGAGACACCCACACACAGAGAGGCAGAGACATAGGCAGAGAGAGAGAAGCAGGCTCCATGCAGGGAGCCTGATGTGGAACTTGATCCTGGGACTCCAGGATCACGCCCTGGGCTGAAGGCAGGAGCTCAACCGCTGAGACACCAAGGCGTCCCAAGCTGAAGCATTCTTAAAATGTCAGAAGGCTTATCAGGCCTGATAGTGATAACATGATGTGCCTCAGATTTAACTGCAGAACAGGAAGCCAATCATCAGATGTCTGATCAGAACTACTTTCTAAAAGATGAAGGCACTCAGCACATTCAGATCTGGCTCATAGCAGTCGCAGGGCACATGAAGGATAAAATACAGTAGAGGGTTACTGATGAGAGAGAAATAACGACACCTCAAGACAGTAAGCTCCTGGAGAGTATTTTTGTTTAGCAGGAGGATCCCAGTAACAGACCAGGAATAAGCAGTTCCAAGCTGGTAGGTAACCTCATGGTGCCCAGTACCAAGGCTCCCTCCATATTGTCATTCAACCATCTCTAGGGTGTTTCTCTCATCTGCCTGGCTTAAGATGTATGTTGTGATACAGATCATTTTTAAAGAAACAGGGCATTGCATATACTGTTTTGTAGCCTATTGTATGTACTTTGAAAAGCAATACATTTTAAATTCAATGACCCTGGGCAACCCGGGTGGCCTAGCAGTTTAGTGCCGCCTTCAGCCCAGGGTCTGATCCTGGAGACCCAGGATCAAGTCCCACATTGGGCTCCCTGCATGGGGCCTGCTTCTCCCTCTGCCTGTGTCTCTCATGAATAAATAAATAAAATCTTAAAAAAAAAAAAAATTCAATGACCCTGGATCTCAGAAGACAATGCCTCAGACCAAAAAAAAAAAAAAAGAAAGAAAGAAAAATGAGTTAAGGCCATCCTAACACGGATATGAATTTCTATGCAGTTCAACACTAAAAGCCCAGGTCCCATCTTCCTCCCTGAGGCACTCACCTGGTTAGCTTCACAGTGCTGTCTAGGGAAGCCGAGAGTAGTAAGCCTTTGGACCGACTACTGAAAGCCAGTCCTCGGATCTGTTTGCCATGCATGGGAATGTACTGACTGCTTTTCATGTTGGCAGTACTCAACATCTTAACGCCAAAGCCTGCCAACAACGAGAGAGCATGAAATCACTGAAAGTCAATTTAAGGCAAAGCAAACTACCTTTTCAAGTAGCTCTCTGTTCAGCTTTCCTGGCATCTAAATTCCTGGAAAACAGCTGGTTAAACGAAGAAAATAAAAATTCTCCAAGGTCATAATTATTTTAAGAAGTATATTCCACTCCAGATATCTGACAACAGGTGAATGGGTAAACCACTATATGTACATGTAAATAACATACAATGGAATAACTACCCAGCAATACAAGGAAATGAACTATTGATATACACAATAATATGGACAAATCTCCAAAACTTTATACTGAAAGAAGCCAGACAAAAAATGATTATGATTATGTATGATTATGTTTATGTAAAATTCTAAAAAATGCAAATTAATGTATAGTGACAGAAAATAGATCAGTGGCTGCCTAGGGATGAGGAGAGGGGGTAAGGGCAGATGGGGGAGATGGATTATAAAGGGCATGAGGTATGTTATCTTGATTGTGGAGATGGTTTCAGAGGTATATACATATATCAAAACTCATCCAACTATATACTTTCAATATGTGCAAATTATTGCATGTCAGTCATATTTCAATAAAGCTATTAATATAGAGATCCACAGACAGTGAAGATACAGAGAGAGTGAACAATAAGGAATAGAGATGTGTGATTTCTATGTCAGGTGGTCAAGAAATGGCATTTATCTGAATGGAATAAAAATGACACAGATGACAAGTATTCTAATCAATTTGCAGCATTCCAAAGGGGAAAAAAATTCCCCCCCAAACTTGTCCTTTTTAATTTATTTGTTACTCTCTTCTCTTCCTAGGCTCTGATAATATATTTATTTTTACTAAGTATCTATAATTATCCAAGTTATCCACAAACAGAATTTGTCAAATCCTAGATTCAGGATAGCCTCGAGTCACATTTCAGCCTCTCTGGGGAACAAAGTGAGAAAAGTTTATTGTATTTTCTCTTGAAACAGAATTAATTAGGAGAGCTAGAGAGACAAACAGGGAAACTATAGGCCTTCAATCAACAAGGAACACGAATACTGACCTAGCTAATTATCAAAGGAAACAAAGATAAATTAGTACCAAAAGGCTTTCAAGAGCTAGCTATATGCTGTGTGGAATAGATGTATTATGGAAAAAGGAACAGATCATACTCAATTGGGAGAACAATTAAAAAAGTAAGTATTTTCCCAGTTTATATGGAAGGTTTTATTTGATAAATCTTTTATTAAAGATGTGGATGGGAATAGAAACATTATAAACAATTCTTTTATGTTCCCCTTAACCAGAGCTTCTCTCAACTCCCAGCTATCAGTAAACAGGAAAATACACAATAGTCTAGGAATCTACTTTTAATCCTGTATATACCTAAGTTTAGGGGGACACAGTTTTTTTTTTTTTTAAGATAGACTCATTCATTCATTCATTCATCATTCATTCATTTATGATAGACATAGAGAGAGAGGCAGAGACACACAGGAGGAGTGAGAAGCAGGCTCCATGCCAGGAGCCCGACGCAGGACCCGATCCTGGGACTCCAGGATCGCGCCCTGGGCCAAAGGCAGGCGCTAAACCACTGAGCCACTCAGGGATCCCCCGGGACACAGTTTTGAAGCATTTGAATGGAACTTGTAAGTGGGTAAAAAGGAAATCAGGCTGAAGCCAAAGGACCTGGCAGCTGGGAGAAATCATACGCTAAAGATCATGGAAAGAAACATCTACAACAATTAGAATGATTTAACTGGGTATATGAGGAAATTTGGTTTTCAACATTAAGACAATCTTTTTTTTTTTTTTTAAGATTCATTTATTTATTTATCATAGACAGAGAGAGAGAGAGAGAGAGAGAGAGAGAGAGGCAGAGACACAGGAGGAGGGAGAAGCAGGCTCCATGCCAGGAGCCTGACGTGGGACTCGATCCCAGGACTCCAGGATCGCACCCTGGGCCAAAGGCAGGCGCCAAACCGCTGAGCCACCCAGGGATCCTACATTAAGACAATCTAAAGTTAAGCTTTTTAAAAAGCACAAACATGAAAAAATTTAGTATTTACTGTATTATTATCAATTCTTAATCAATGTATTGCCAAATTCTTTTATTTAGAATTTGTCAATTTGAATACTACTGAAAATAAGTATTAAATCTTGTTTCAACTTGAATTAGCCCTTGGGATAGTAATTTTTACTTTTCTTTTCTGAAGATTTATTTATTTTAGAGAGACAGAAGTGATCAAGAGGGAGAGAGAATCCCAAGCAGACTCCCCACTGAGCGCAGAGCCCAATGTGGGGCTCAATCCCAGGACCCTGAGACTGCAACCTGAGCCAAAATCAAGAATTGGATGCTGTGCCAACTAAGCCACCCACGCACCTCTGGACAGTGTTTTTTTTTTTTTTTTTTGGATAGTGTTTTTAAAAATAGTTCCAGTCTAGGGGCATTTGGCTGGCTTAATCAGTAGAGCATGTGACTCTTGATCTCGGGGTTCTAAGTATTAGCTTCATGTTGGGTGCAGACATTACTTTAAAAAAAAAAATCTTAAAAATTTCTAGTCTAAAATCAATCTTTGACTTTATTTATTTTTTATTAAAAAAATTTTTTTTTTCTAAGTAAACCCTGTAACTCAACATGGGACTCAAATTCAAGTCTCATACTCTACCAACTAAGCCAGTCAAGTGCCCCCATGAATCTGTGACTTTAACAGGACATATAGGGATGTTCTTCTCCTTGGATGATATCAGTAACCCATGTTTCCAAGTACCTCATCTTCTCTTACTTTATCACAGTTATTAATTAGCATTTCTGAGCTCTTAGTGAATATATTTACAGAATGAAGCCAAGGGACACTAAAGATATCTTTGTAGCACCTTAAGAGTGCTACATCTGCATTAACAGACTAGGAAAGCTGATTTGGTGGGTCATGGCCAGTGTTCACCCACTAGTGAGTCCTGGATTCTACAAAAAAAGGAGATCAGTGAAGTCTCAATTAAGGAGATCAATGAACATGAAAGCTGAGGTTCTGGATTGTTCACCTGGCAGGAAGGAGGCCTCAGGGGAAGGCTGTGACATCACCAGGCAGCTCAGAGTGTCACAGTATGTCATGATTCGGCAGTTTCCTGTCTGAGACACTGTGAAGGTCTTCTGGAAATGGTACTTGTGCTGGCTCTGGCTGGAGGGCAGGCAGTTTGGGAAACATGCTTGGGAGCCCCTGGGGTGCTGTGAAATCTGCTCCCGATGCTGCACGATAAGTTTCTGCAAGTCCTAAAACGAAAAAGATTTTGTAAATGTGAAGCCTTTCCATTTGCTATTCCCCTCATGCACAATTCCTTCATTTAACATGGGGACATTTCTTATCTATTACATGGAAATGTTGACACGAATCCCAGAGCACTGCTGCAGTTTTCACAGTATTTCAACAAGCAGCTGAACTAAAGAGAGCACAGATCATAAAATATTAGGGCTGAAAGTCTTTAGTAGGCACCTTGTCTAAAGCCCTCGTTCTATTGGTACATTCAGGGAGGTAAAATGACTTAAAATTCGAATTATCAGTGGGCTGTTTAATTTTTTAAAAGTTCAAATTGCAGGATTCATCCTAAAGTGTATACGCTTCAGACAAATGCTCTTAATCAAAACCAGAATCAAGAGTTAGTCTTGCTTACTTCCTGAAAAACTTGGTAAATCCTTACTTGTATGTGAGATGAACCAAAGTTGTATTTAGATCCCTTTGCCATTCCTATCTCCAAGTTCTCTGGATTAGAAAGGGCAGACTCACCTGGACACGACTATGAAGCTTGCTGCATTCGTCAGTGAGTACTTGAAGCTGGAGCCGGCACTGTGCTGATTCTAACTCCGCCTGCTTCCTTAGCATCTGCTCCTTTAGTAAGGAACTAGAAGAGGGAGCCAACAGGAGAAGATTAGGAGGACTACAGAACACTTCTCATCAAGACATCAGATTAAGTTCATGCTATGATAAGCACGTTATGCTGTAAATAGTCACAATGGTGAATAAAATGTAACAAAAGAAAAATCTCTCACATCCAGAAACACTACAAAAAAGTACCACGCAGGGCTGAACTCACAAGTCACTGGGATTCAGCATGAACATCGGCAGTTATAGCCAGGAGTTTGGCTCTTACTAGGAAATGAGACTAAAAATGCAAAAATGCTGATTGAGAGAACAGAGCCAAGCCCACTGCTTGAGTTAGTACCAAATTATAAGAGTAAAATGACATATTAGAAGACCAAGGTTATCCACTGGATTAAAAGGAAATAATAAGCTACTAAGCTACCAGCTCTGTTCATCAGATACTGAAATAAAACTACAAAAATGAAGCTGAAGTTGAAAGGAACAATGCACAATGAAAAAATACATTCATCAAGAACAAAAATTATAAATTTGCATATACCTAAAGACACTTTCAAAATATGAAAGGGGGGAAAAAATTTCCACTCAGAAAAAGATGAAAACTGGAAAGGGGAACACTGGAAAGTTCAACAGAAGCCATAAACTAGCAAGGTACTGGAATTAAGATCAAGAAAATTAGATAGGGGCCATGGCTGGCTCAGTTGAAGGAACACAGGACCCTCAATCTCAAGGTTGTTGGGTTTGAACCCCATGATGGGCATAAAGATTACTGAAAAAAATAGCATTTTCCATACGCCAGATGACTGATTAGTAAATGTAATAAGAAAAAGTTCATTCACAAGAGCAATTCTAACAATAGCAACCTAGGAATAAAGTTAAAGAGCATGCAAGACCTTTATGAAACAAGGTATACTTGTAAAAAGCACAAGGAGACAGAGAATTAGTGGAAGGATATTACATAATACTCATGGCTAGAATGATTTGAAATCACAAAGATAGAACTTCTCAAGTTACTCTAAAAATTTCAATCAATTTCAATCAACTTTTGAAGTTCCCTTTGAAATCTTGACTGAAATTGCACTAAACGGAACTTAGGAAACTATTTTTAAAATTAATATGGAAGAGCAAAATGCCAAGAATATTAAAGTCAATTTGCAGAACAAGGTGGGAGGAGGTATTTTAAATTATAATTATAATATAAATTATAATTATAAATTATAACTTCAGAATACTGGGGTGAGAGCTAACAAAGAGACCAAGGAACCTAGAAGTAGTCCATTCATATACAAAAACTTAATCTAGGATAGAGGTAGCAATGAAAACTTACACAGGAAGAACGTATCACTTAATAATTATGCTACAATACCTGGTTACCCACAAAATTAGATTTAAAAAATAGTTAAAATCTACATAAAAAACAAAAATTCTAAAGACCTTTAGAAGATGTTATGTCTTTATGACCTTGCAGAAATGGAGACAAAACCCAAAATAAGAGATACAGTACTATATTAAAATTAAAAATTCATGTTCAACAAAAGATAACATAAACAGAGATAAGCCACAGACCAATTTGGCTATTGTAAAATAACGCTGCTATATATATTGCTATTTGCAATATACACAACCAGCAAACAATCAGTACAGGTGACCCCTGAACGACATGGATTTGAACTGTGTTGGTCCACTTTCTGTGGATTTTTTTCAATAAATACACTGGAAACTTTGGGGGGGGGGGTTGTAATAATTTGGAAAAGAAAAAAAGTAAATCTTGCCCATCTCTCTGCACCATGGCTTATATGAACGAAAACTGGAAACCAACTGAACTGTCCACCAATACAAAACACATACAAGGAAATTCTAAATTAGAGAACTAGAACACTCTACAGAAGTTAGAATGAATAAGCTAGAGCAAGCCTAGCTAGAAGATGTACCCCAAATATAAATTTTTAAAAAATATTTTATTTATTTATTCATGAGAGACACAGAGAGAGGCAGAGACACAGGCAGAGGGAGAAGCAGGTTCCGTGCAGGGAGCCTGATGTGGGACTTGATCCCGGAACTCCAAGATCACGCCCTGGGCCAAAGGCAGGCCCTAAACCGCTGAGCCACCCAGGGATCCCTATTTTTAATTTTTTGAAGAGCCTTCATACTGTCTTCCACAGTGGCTGCTCCAGTGTGCATCCCCACCAGCATTGCAAGAGGGTACCTTTTGCTCCACATCTTCACCAACACTGTTGTTTCTAGTGTTTTTGATTTTTAGCCATTCTGTTGTGAGGGATATCTCATTATAGTTTTGATTTCCATTTCCCCAATGATGAGTGATACTGAACATCTTCTCTTGCGTCTGTTGGCCATCTGGATGTCTTCTTTAGAAAAATGTCTGTTCATGTCCATTTTTAAAATTTGACTGTTTGTTTTTAGCGTGTTATGTAAGTTCTTTATATATTTTGGATACTTACCTTTTATTGGATATGTCATTTACGAATATGTTCTCCCATTCAGTAGGTTGCTTTTTAGTTTTGTTGGTTGTTTCCTTTGCTGTGCAAAAGCTTTATTTTGATGTAGTCCCAATAGTTTATTTTTGCTTTTGTTTCCCTTGCCTCAGGAGACCTATCTAGACAGATGTTGCTACAGCTGATGTCAGAATAATTACTGCCTGTGCTCTCTCCTAGGATTTCTATGGTTTCAGGTCTCACATTTAGGTCCTCAATCCATTTTGAGTTTATTCTTGTGTATGATGTAAGAAAGCGGTCCATCCAGTTTTCATTCTTTCCAGTTTTCATTCTTTTTCATGTTGCTGTCCAGTTTTCCCCAATATTATTTGTTGAAGAGACTTTTTTCCCACTGCATATTCTTTCCTGCTATGTCAAAAATTAATCACGTAATTGTGGATTCATTTCTGGGTTTTCTATTCTGTTTCATTAATCTATGTGTCTATTTTTGTACCAGTAGCATACTGTTTTGACTATTACAGCTTTGTAATATAACTCAGTCTAGAATTGTGATACCTCCAGTTTTTTTTTTTTAAAGATTTTATTTATTTATTCACGAGACACACACACACACAGAGAGAGAGAGAGAGAGAGAGAGAGAGAGAGAGAGAGAGAGAGGCAGAGACACAGGCAGAGGGAGAAGCAGGCTCCATGCAGGGAGCCCAACGTGGGACTCAATCCTGGGTCTCCAAGATCATGTCCTGGGCCAAAGGAGGTGCTAAACCACTGAGACACCCAGGCTGCCCCAGTTTTTTCTTTTTCAAGATTGCTTTGCTATTCAGGGTCTTTTATGGTTCCATACAAATTTTAGGATTGTTCTAGTTCTGTGAAAACTGCTGTTGGTATTTTGATAGGGATTGCATTAACTGTGTAGATTACTTTAGGTAGTATAGACATTTTAACAATATTTGTTCTTCCAATCCATGAGCATGGAATATCTTTCCATTTGTGTCATCTTCAATTTCTTTCATCAATGTCTTATAGTTTTCAGAGTACAGGTTTTTCTCTTGAAGTTTATTTCTAGGTATCTTATTATTTTTGGTGCAATTGTAAATGGGATCGTTTTCTTAAGTTCTCTTTCTGCTGATTCATTATTGTTCCATAGAAACGGAACAGATTTTCTGTACACTCATTTTTCATTCTGCAAATTTCTGAATTCATTTATCAGTTTTAGTAGTTTTTTGGTGGAGTCTTTGGGTTCTCTACATACAGTATCATGTCATCAGCTAATAGTTTTACTTCTTCCTTACCAATCTGGACACCTTTTTATTATTTATTTCTCTTCTCTGATTGCTGTGGTGAGAGTGGACATCCTTGTCTTGACTTAGGCAAACAGCTCCCACTTTTTCCTCCATTAAGGATGATATTAGCTGTGGGTTTTTCATAGAAGATCTTTACTATGCTGAGGTATCGTTCCTCTAAATCTACCTTGTTGAGAATTTTTATCATAAATGGATGTTGTATTTTGTCAAATGCTTTTTCTGCATCTATTGAAATGATGATATGGTTTTTATTCTTTCTCTTACTGAAATGATGTATTGCATTACTTTGTAAATAACAAACCACCCTTGCATCCTGGGAATAAATCCCACCTGATCTTTGTGAATGATTTTTTTTTTTTTAATGTATTGTTGGATTTGGTTTGCTAATACCTTGTTGAGAATTTCTACATCTATATTCATCAGAGGCATTGATCTGTAGTTCTCTTTTTTGGTGGTATCTTTATGTGGTACTGGTATCAGAGTGACACTTGACTCATAGAATGAATCTGAAATTTTTCTTCCTTTTCTATTTTTTGAAAAAGTTTGAGAAGAATTAGGTATTGGGTCACCTGGGTGGCTCAGTTGGTTAAGCAGCTAACTCTTGATTTTGGCTCAGGTCATGATCTTGGGGTCCTAGGATCAAGCCCTGCATCAGGCTCCACACTCAGTGGGGAGTCTGCTTCAGGATTCTCTCTCTCCCTCTGCTCATCCCTCCTAAAACAAATAAATAAATCTTAAAAAAAAAAAAAAAAAGCTATGAACTCTTCTTTAAGTGTTTGGTAGAATTCACCTATAAGGCCAATTGGTCCTGGACTCTGTTGAGAGTTTTTTGAGTAATCAGCTAAGTTTTAAATATAATCATATATTAACAACCATGCCTACAAAGTCAGCATTTTCAACAAAATTAACCTCTCTACACAGCTCATGTAAAAATACTAAATATTTATTGGACCAAATAAGTATTTGTTAGGCCAAATGAGAAAAAATAAGTAAGAAAATTAAAACCATCTGTAATTTCACTATTCAGTGACTACCTGTATTTTTTTCTACTTTGCAAAAAGTAGAAAGGGAGAAGCAGGCTCCCTGCATGGAGCCTGCTTCTCCCTCTGCCTGTGTCTCTGCCCGCCCCCCCATGAATAAATAAATAAAATCTTAAAAAAAAAAAAAAAGATTTATTTTATTTTATTTTAGCCTGATGTGGGACTTGATCCAGGACTCTGGGATCACACCCTGAGCCAAAGGCAGATGCTCAACTGCTGAGCCACCCAGGTGTCCCTATTTATTTATTTTAGAGAGTGTGTGCACACAAAGAGAGGGAAGGGGCAAAGGGAGAGAATCTCAAGTAGATTTCCTGCTGAGTGCAGAGCCTGACATGGGGTTCAATCTCTCCACCCATGAGATCATGACCTGAGCCGAAACCAAGAGCCTGATGTCTAACCAACTGAGCCACCCATGTACCCTTAACAATTTTATTTTTAAGTAGTCTCTTTCCCCAATATGGGGCTCGAACTTACAAATCCTGAGACTAAGAGTCACATGCTCCACCAACTGAGCCAGACAGGTGCTCATCATGAAGTCTTTGCACACATTTCTTCACAAATCATCTCTTTAGAATAAATGCCTGAAGCAGAATTACTTTTTTTTTTCTTTTAAAGCTTTTATTTATTTATTCATGAGACACACACACACACACACACACACACACACACACACACACAGAGAGAAAGAGAGAGAGGCAGAGAGACACAGGCAGAGGGAGAAGCAGGCTCCATGCAGGTAGCCTGATGTGGGACTCAATCCCGGGGCTCCAGGATCACGCCCTGTGCTGAAGGTGGCGCTAAACCGCTGAGCCACCTGGGCTGCCCTAGAATTACTTTTTTTTAAATTTTATTATTATTATTTATCTATCTATCTATCTATTTATTTATTTATTTATTTATTTATATTTATTTATTTATGATAGTCACACAGAGAGACAGAGAGGCAGAGACACAGACAGAGGGAGATGCAGGCTCCATGCACTGGGAGCCCGACGTGGGATTCGATCCCGGGTCTCCAGGATCGCGCCCTGGGCCAAAGGCAGGCGCCAAACCGCTGCGCCACCCAGGGATCCCTAGAATTACTTTTAAATGCTTTTGAAACACAGTGCCAAGGGTCTCTCTAAATAGTTGTGTCGGTGTATATTCTGACCAGCAGCACTGTGAAAAAAATCTATGTCCCTGTACTCTCTTGGTGGGTATTTAATGTTTTTTTTTTTAATGATAGCCAGAGAGAGAGAGAGAGAGAGAGAGAGAGAGAGAGGGGCAGAGACACAGGCAGAGGGAGAAGCAGGCTCCATGCACCGGGAGCCCGACGTGGGATTCGATCCCGGGTCTCCAGGATCGCGCCCTGGGCCAAAGGCAGGAGCCAAACCGCTGCGCCACCCAGGGATCCCTCGCCACCCAGGGATCCCGTATTTAATGTTCTTAAAAGTTTATTTTAAACAGTGTTATTTAAGATTGTTCTCTGGCTTCCAAAATCCTGAGAATTTCTTACATTGTACTACATGTGCAAAGTTTCACTCATGAATCTTCCGCGTAGGGTGCTATTGTAGGAGGGCTTAGGGACACGAGCAACAACATATGGCAACCCTTAAGTAATATGCCAGATCCTCTTTTTTTGTTGTTGTTTTGTTTAAGGTCTGATTAAGCCTATTGTAGGGAAGAGGAGTAAGACTTGGAAAATGTTCCAAGTCGTCATAATTTGTCAAAGAGTAAGACAAGAAATCCCTATTAAATGTTCATGGTATTTAGAAGCAGAGGCAGGCAGTAAATATAATCCCTAGAGAAGACATCTGAAAAAGCTACAAAAATTCCAGGGAATTGTTCTGCTTGGGTCTACTGCCCACACCAGGTGTGAGGTATTACTGGAGGGCTGTAGGTTTCTCTAGGATTTTCCATTTGGGGAAGGCTAAAGACACCCTGGTCTTGGCTTCCCAGGTTATGTTACTGCCAGCTTAAGTATCAGAGCTGATTCTAAATTGGTAGGGATAGCTAGGTGCTCCTGCAGAATGAACAGCTGCTCTATTCCTTCTGAATCTACCTGTCCCAGTCAGCACACAGCACTCAGGCTCTGAAAGCTGAGGCTTGTCAGAAGTACAGAACACAAAAAGGAATAGGTGGCATGGTCTGCTATCTATCATCCTTCTTTTATCTTCCCCTTCTTTCAAGGAATGAGTTTTCCATGACCCAGGTGTCAGTCTCCCCAGAATGAGAATGTTATGTGATGAAATATCAGTCAATGCTCCCTAGATTATACGATAAAAATTTTATTTAAGCTGGCAAATTAAAATCAAAAATCAATGTACTGACTTATACAACTGAGAAATCCACTGGAGTCTAACTTCAGGCATGGCTAAATTGAGGGCCAGGAATCTATCTTTCCACTTCTCAACTCTGCTTTCTTGTGCATCAACTTCACTGTTAGGTTGGTTCCCCCATTTGATGGCTGAGATCTCAGGTATATATTCAATAAGCCTGGGGCCCATGTTCATTGAGCTAGCTAAAGTTACAATTAGTTATTACCCTAAAACCTCATTTTTTATTTATCTGAGTACACTCAAGAGTGAGGGCATGCATAAGCAGGAGGGGAATGGTGGGGAGGAGCAGAGGAGAGGGAGAAGTAGACCCCTCACTGATCAGGGAGCTACTCAGGTGCCCCTAAAACCTCATTTTTAATGCACGGAGAGTAAACCATGTAGACCTCCTTCAGAAGATATAAGATATGTATTATAAATCACAATGTGAGGGGCAATTCAGTGGCTCAGTTGGTTAAGCATCTTCCTTGGGCTCAGGTGATGATCCAGGAGTCCTGCCTGGGATTGAGCTTCGCATCAGGCTCCCCACTCAGTGTCTGCTTCTTCCTCTCCCTCTGCCCCTCCCTGCCGCTCGTGTGCTCTCTCTCTCTCGCGCGCGCGCACTTTCTAATAAGTAACTTTTTTTTTTAAGATTTTATTTATTTATTCATGAGAGACACAGAGAGAGAGAGAGGCAGAGACACAGGCAGAGGGAGAAGCAGGCTCCATGCAGGGAGCCTGACGTGGGGCTTGATCTCGAGACTCCAGGATCATGCCCTGGTCCAAAGGTGGCGCCAAACCAATGAGCCACTGGGGCTGCCCAAATAACATCTTAAAAAACAAAACAAAACAAAACAAAAAAAACCCCCACAAGGTGAGAGAGATTGCCAGTGATCCCCAGAGATCCCCCATCACAGTCCAAATAAAGCCTCAGAACCACATTAAGAATGATTCATACCTCCTTTTCAGAATTTGCCCAGTAGGTAAATTCTTGCCACCTACCTTTTCATGTGCTCTTGTTCACTAGTGTCCAGAGCTCTTAGGGTTCGGGCATAAAGAACGACGATGTCACTATGCTTGGCTTTCTTGTTGCACTAAAGAGCACAACACGATAAAGTTAGCGTGAGTCTAGGAATCTTCCTGATTTAACATGTCAACTGTACATATGCTCAGTCTTTATCTATGGTTCTCACCTGGGGGCATTTTCGTGCCTGTCCCTTTAGCCACTTAGAAATGCACTTATACCCAAAGAGGTGCCCACAGCGTAATGCTGAGAGGCGGTGATCCCCAGCATTGGTCCAGTGCTCCAAACATATTGTGCAAGTGTCCCCTTCTTCATCATCCATAGGAACAGAAGGTAGAAGGGGGTCCGTCTTCTGGGGAGACTGGGTGGAAACCAGAATATATTCACATTAGAGAAAATACAAAATCAGTTTTTACGAGGATGTACAGCTCTATCAAATCAATAAAACCATGCAAAAACAACACAATCTCAATGGAAAACACTGTGGAAAAACCCCAACACCTCCAAATCACTTGTTATTCTTTGTAAAATGCACCTGGTTAAATGTTTTATACAAGCCATAGAAATATTTACTTCCCTTTGATCTTATGAAATTCTTGGGATTTTTTTTCATTCAAACGAAGAAAAGGAGCTATCTTTACAAAGACATAAAAAAATAAAACAAATCTAGCAGTTACCTGGATAATGAACAACAAGGAAGAGTGGGTTTGTTATATATTCAAAATTAGGTTCATAATCAAGTCAAGTAGTTATAAAATACTTGAATAGAAAATACGTAAAAGAAACCCAGAAAAGCAAAGAAAGGGTATTAACAGTGAACTCACAAAAATTATAAATGGTTCATAAGTGCTCACTTATAACTAAAAAATGCAAATTAAAGTAAGAGACCATTTATTAGACAGTATAGACTGATGTCTGATGACGCCAAGCAATGCTGAAGGTTAAGGAACAGATAGGAATGCTTCTATATTGTTGCTACAGGTAAGAAAGTGACACAAATTTTCTAAAGGGCAATTTGACATTCCCTATCAAAACTAAATACATCTGTCCTCTCACAGAGCAATCTCTCTGCTAGAAATATATCCCATGAATAGTCACAAATACTTGCAAGACAACTGTACAAAGATGCTTAGTGCAGCTTGATTTGTACCAGGAAAACAAATTAGAAAGGAAGGAAAGCAGGAAAGAAGGAAGAACAAGTATAGTGTACACAACAAAGTAAGAGTTAACTAAAAACTTATTTATATGATTGAACCTATGTAGTGATTAATAAGAAAGATTCAACTTGGGCAGCCCGGGTGGCTCAGCGGTTTGGCGCCACCTTCAGTCCAGGGCGTGATCCTGGTAGACCCAGGATCGAGCCCCACATCAGGCTCCCTGCATGGAGCCTGCTTCTCCCTCTGCCTGTGTCTCTGCCTCTCTCTGTGTCTCTCATGAGTAAATAAATAAAATCTTAAAAAAAAAAAAAAAAGACAGATTCAACTTTATGTACTGATAACAAGGTATAATATGATTCCTTTTGTGTAAATTTGTACATTTATGTGCACAAATTTACATGCACACAAAATTTTTCTGGAAGAAAAAAACAAAAGAGAGGCCTTATAGAAATACATCAAAAGTAGGTCAATGTTTTGAGAGTGGCCAAGTCCACAGGTGATGTAAATAAACTCTCATATTAAGGATTATCATGCGTTATCTTTGTAAATAAAAGCTGTGTAACACAGCAATTGTATTTTGCCAGGTATTTCAGAAACTGCATTCATATCCACTATCTTAATCAAAACCTAACTGCTAAGTAGGCAGGACCAGTTATCCTCAATCTATCCCTGCCTTTCTAAACCCATGAGGAGTGGCCACATAAATGAGTAAACTGGACTGGACTTCCCCTGACCTCCTGCCTACATAAGTCTGTAAGCTTCCATTTCAGCCTGCAGGCTCTTCTTTATTTTTTTAAAAAGATTTTATTTATTTATTCATGAGAGACACACACAGAGAGAGGCAGAAACCCAGGCAGAGGGAGAAGCAGGCTCCACGCAGGGAGCCCAACGTGGGACTCGATCCTGGGACCAGGATCATGCCCCCAGCCAAAGGCAGAGCTAAACCGCTAAGCCACTGGGGCTGCCAGCAGCCTCTTCTTTAAATGCAAATCCAAACATTTCATTTAAAAGGATGCTCATATTACCTGTTTGGGGAAGGTCTCTCCTCCACTGATACAGGTAACTTCTTGCTGTGCTGAGGAACCTCCTACTTGCTCTGCCAAGTCATTTCCAGAAACGATAAGACAGGCAATGCACAAAAAAAGACAGAAGTCAGGTATGAGAGGCTAGCAGGAGGGCCTACGTAACCCCAGTTTTCCATTTCTAATTGGTAATATTGCTGTAAACTTCCCCTAGTAACAGTGGATTTTTTAACATATTTTGGATTTTTTCATCAAATATACATAAAAGTAAGTAGACAGAACAGTACAAGTACACAAGTACTCATCACCTAATTTCAACAAAATCAATATTCCACCAATCTTCTCCTAAGCCCCCGCCCCCGTTATTTTCTTTTGTAATGCTTAATAACAAACTCTAAAATGTCGTTTCACTTATAAAACACTATCGTTATCATACCAAATGAGTGACAATAACAATAATCTCTTAATACTGTCTGATGTCCACCCAGTTCATATTCAAAATTTCCAGTTGTCTTCAAGTTGCTCTGTACAGGGCATTTCTAGCCGTCAGAATCTAAGCAAGACGAATTTGACGAACTTCATTGTTGCACCCGTTTTCATTTTCACCCCTTCCTTGTCATTGATTTGTTGGAGGGTGTCTGGTCACTTGTCTTATGAAATGTCCTGTATCTCAGACTGGACTGACTGCTCCTTGAAGTATTGCTCACTCATTTGTTCTATCACCTCTATTTCCTATAGACTGGCAGTTAAATCTGGGGGCTTCGGTGGATTCAATTGTTTTTTGGCAAGAAGGACAGCAAGAATATTTCTTTGGCTGTATGCTCCTGCCTGCAGCATGTCAGGAGGCTCATACTGGGTTCTGGTGGTGTCAGTTTCACCCCTGGACTATCAGGTTCCTTATCAACCTTTTCAAACCTCCACTAAAGGTCAAGGAGGTGATTTTTAATTTTCAGTCATTTTGCTTTTGAAGGTTCAAAGGATCCCACCACAGGCCAGTGGGAGCCCCTTTAAACTGTTAAAACAAACAAACAAAAACCTACAAAAACATGTATCCTCAGTATTCAGTTCAGTGAATTCTCACAAACTGAACTATAAACCAGAACATCACCAAAACCCCCAAGAGTGCCTTTTATACCTTATGTCCTCCTTACTTTTGGGGAGTACAGCGGAGATGATTTGCACCCACCAAAGGTGACTACCTTACTGAATTCTAGCACCATCTATTGACTTTTGCCTGTTTTTGCAAATAAACAGCATTTCAGAGCTATCCACTTTTTTGTATCTGCTAATTTTACTCTACATTTTAGTAATATTCTTTCCTACTAACATGGGGTTGTGGTTCACTTATTTTCACTGCTGTATAGTGTTTTATTGTGTACCTATATAACATTTATCCATTCTATTGCTGATGGGTACTTGGGTCGTTTTGAGGTTTTTTGCCATTACGAATAATGTTACATTCTTGTACATTTCTATTGAATACATATATTCCTTTCTTTGGTTACATGCCTAGTAGTAGAATTGCTGAGCTGTAGGCTTTATATGTACAGATGAGTCTGTAAGGATACCATCTGGATGTCTGTACCAATTTACAGTGTATGAGAGGTCTGACTGCTTTATATTCGTTCTAATACTTGATATTGTCAGTCTTGAATTCTAGCTCTACTAGTGGATGCATATTATTACCAAACTGTGGTTTTAATATTTATTTCTTTGATGACTGATAAAGTCTTCTTGTTATGTATTTAGTGGCCATTTGACTACTCTCCTTTGGAAGTACCTTTTCAAATCTTGTGCCAATTTTTCTGTTAAGGCTGTAGAAGTTATTTACATATTGTAGATATAAGCCCTTTTTCAGATATATGTATTATATGTTTCCTTCAGTCAATGGATTCCCATTTCACTCTTCTAATGATGTCTGTTGATGAATGGGCAGCAACAGTACTTCTAAAAGTGCTATGGATATTTCTTTCTTTTTCTTTTCTTTTTAAATTTGATTTTTAAGTAGTCTCTACACCCAACATGGAGGTCAAACTTACAACCCCGAGATCAGGAGTTGCATGCTCGACTGACTGAGCCAGTTAGGCACCCTTTGGATATTTCTGATTGCATATAAGGTCTGGTGATATCAGCCCGGCCCCTCAATTAAAGGGAATCCCATCAAGCTTTCTTTTTTTCTTTTTTTTTTTTTTTTAATTTTTATTTATTTATGATAGTCACACACACACACAGAGAGAGGCAGAGACATAGGCAGAGGGAGAAGCAGGCTCCATGCACCGGGAGCCCGACATGGGATTCGATCCTGGGTCTCCAGGATTGTGCCCTGGGCCAAAGGCAGGCGCTAAACTGCTGCGCCACCCAGGGATCCCCCATCAACCTTTCAACCTAATGGTTTTAGGATCTACTTTGCCTACATACATAATTTCATTACATGCATGAAATTATGACTTTTTTCTATCAATCTTGCTCCAATATTAATCAGCTGGGAGTTTTCATTTAAAAAAACTTCTGTGGGGGTAGGTGGGAGGAATGAATAGGCAGAGCAAAGAGAATTTTTAGGGCAGTGAAAATACTCTATATAATGATGGATAGTTCATTATACATTTATTCAAATCCATAATATATATAACCCAAAGGTGAACACTAAGGTAAACTACGGACTTTGAGTGAATATTCTGTGTAATAAATGCACCATTCTGGTGAGTGATGCTGATAATGAAGAGGCAATGCATGTGTGGAGACAGGGGTATATGGGAAATCTCTGGACCTTCCTCTCAGTCTTGTTGTGAACCTCAAACTACTCTCAAAAAATAAAGTCTTAACAAAAAAAACCCCTGCTTCATCAACTATTTGGTTTTCCTGAATACAGTTCACACAGGAAAAACAGAATAAATGTTTAATTTACCAGTTTTCAGAGTAATGATTAAGGCTCTAATAGGATGTTGATAAATGAGATTTTAAAAAAGTACATGATTATGAATTTATAGATTTTCCACAGATTTGATGTAGATTTCAATCCATAATTGAAGAGTACATTCATTATTTGTTTTGAAGTTTAAATTGTCCCATTTTAGGCCACTAGGAGCCCTTTCAAGGTTGCTCTTATACCTATAGACATGATGATGCTCTGAGAGATGGCTTCCTTGCTTTCTAACACAATCAAGTGCTGTAGGCTCGCCTTGTTTGTCTCCTATCCTAAGCTTGGAAAGCCATTTCTCCAAGAAGTCCTGGTTCCTTTCAATGGGAAAAGATCACAATCTAGGGTATCAGAGGGTAAGCAGGGCATATACTCTAGGGGTCTCTGCCCACTACTGCTAAATAAAATTCTACTTGCAAAATATATATTATACTAGGACTTCACAAGTAGCAGACTAGACAGGGTACTGAATTTACAAAACTTTTCTTTTAAATAAAGAAGCTACTTCCTTCTTGGATGTCAAAGAAAATGCAAGAGGATAGAAAATGCCATTACAAAGTGACCAGTGCACTGGGTCACAAATCACACTAAAATTTCAAGTTAGGGCAAATCCTGTACATACATATTATGGCCAAGGAGGCTACATAAAGCAGAATCTAGGACATGTGGGAGGAAAAGGTAAAGTATCAAAACACAAGCCTAGTGTTTCCAGCTTTCTGGAGGCTAAGCTTCCTGGATGTTAGCCTTGTGAATAAAACACCCACCTTCCTTTTTTTTTTTTTTTTTAAGATTTTATTTATTTATTCATGAGACAGAGACAGAGACAGAGAGACAGAGAGACAGAGAGAGAGAGAGAGAGAGAGAGAGAGAGAGAGAGAGAGAGAGAGGCAGAGACACAGGCAGAAGGAGAAGCAGGTTCCATGCAGGGAACCAGACATGGGACTCGATCCTGGATCCCCAGGATCAGGCCTTGGGCTGATGGCGGTGCTAAACCACTGAGCCACCCAGGCTGCTCAAACACTCACCTTCTAAAACAGCAGCTCTAGTCTCCTCTGCCTGGGCAACAACTTCTTCAAACTCTGTGGAGCTATCGCTGTCAGAATTGGAACTACTTGAGACCTGCAAGTCTTCAGAAACAGGATTTCTGGTCTCTGAATCATGGGAGGTGGTTGGCAAATGAGGCTGGGTCCGGCTCACTTGAAAGTAGGCATCCAATGGTGCTCTGGACCTATATATAAGCAGAGTAAAAACAGAATTACAGCACAATGGACGATCATCACAAGAAAAATCCACAGCAATCTGAAGGTAAATCCTAGTTATTTCAACCCAACTCCAGACTGTTGAATGTTGCCTTTGAAAACTGATGCAGAAATAGCACTTTTAGGCAGATGTTGGCTGGCCTGGACATTCTCTTTTCCACTCAATTATGACATTAGCCACACTGGAGGTTGACTCTTGCTAAAAGCAAATTCTACTTTACTGGCTTCTGGCTATGTGTTGATATCTTTTAAAGGACGTAATGCAGCAATCTGTCTACTGGTATTATTATGTGGTTGAAAGAGTGGATGAGAAGAAAAACAGCTCTGTTGATCAAATATAAAATACAGCCTCACAGGATTCTGCTCCTGTAACAATGCAAGACCAAGGTCTTCCGGGGCAAAAATGAAGTCTGGCTTCAGTCATCATTGCTTTACCTCTTACTTTATTTTTTTTATTTTTTATTTTTAAAGATTATTTATTTATTTATTTATTCATAAAGACACACACACACACAGAGTGGCAGAGACACAGGCAGAGGGAGAAGCAGGCACCATGCAGAGAGCCTGACGTGGGACTCGATCCAGGGTCTCCAGGATCATGCCCTAGGCTGCAGGTGGAGCTAAACCGCTGCGCCATCGGGGCTGCCCTTTACCTCTTATTTTAAAACACTATTTTTCTTTTTATGTTTAAATAATGTCACATTAAGGTTAAAAACAGCATGATATCAAAAACTACCTCAAGATGAGAAGAGCTGGGAGCAGTTTTAACACTTCAGTCTCTTCTGGCTGGCTGAGTTTTAACCACACCCACTACCTTTCCACAGTTTCTCTCACGTCCAAGCTAATCAACCACACCCTACTTCTGGTACAGAATGACATACAGTATTAACAACCAAAAAGGTGGGACAGCTTGGGTGGCTCAGCGGTTTAGTGCCACCTTCAGCTCAGGGTGTGATCCTGGAGACCCGGGATGGAGTTCCATGTCGGGCCCCCTGCATGGAGCCTGTTTCTCCCTCTGCCTGTGTCTCTGCCTCTCTGTCTCTCATAAATAAATAAATAAAATCTTAAAAAAACAAAACAAAACAAAACAAAAAAGGTGTTGTATACTTTAGAACATACGTCCTAATTAAGAATTACAAAATAGGGCAGCCCGGGTGGCTCAGCAGTTTAGCACCGCCTTCAGCCCAGGGTGTGATGCTGGAGACCCGGGATCAAGTTCCACGCTGGGTTCCCTGCATGGATCCTGCTTCTCCCTCTGCCTGTGTCTCTGCCTCTCTCTGTGTGTATCTCATGAAAAAATAAATTAAATATTAAAAAAAAAAAAGAATTACAAAATATTGGGATCCCTGGGTGGCTCAGTGGTTTAGTGCCTGCCTTATTTTTCCATTATTGCCTTCTTTTGTATTACTTTCAAGTGCACCATTTAAATTTTCACTTTTTACTACATATCTTTATAGTTCCATTCCCTCCTCACTTTTGCTGATTTTATGTCCATCAACACAGGTTCATAGTTTTTTTTTTTTTTTTTTTTTAAGATTTTATTTATTTATTTTGAGAGAAAGCAAGCATGAGCAGGGGGGAGGGGCAGAGGGAGAAGCAGACTCCCTGTTGAACAGGGAGCCCCATGAGGGACTGGATCCCAGGATCATGACCTGAGCTGAAGGCAGACACTTAACCAACTGAGCCATTCAGGCACCCCTAAAAACTTTTTATTTTAAAATAAAACACAGGGATCCCTGGGTGGCGCAGCGGTTTGGCGCCTGCCTTTGGCCCAGGGCGCGATCCTGGAGACCCGGGATCGAATCCCACGTCGGGCTCCCGGTGCATGAAGCCTGCTTCTCCCTCTGCCTGTGTCTCTGCCTCTCTCTCTCTCTCTCTCTGTGTGTGACTATCATAAATAAATAAAAATTAAAAAAAATCTTTAAAAAAAAAAATAAAAAAAATAAAATAAAACACAGATAGGGGCACCTAGCAGGCAGAACCATCCAGGTACCCTACAGTTATTTCTTTATGCTGCTTTTTCTAAATTAGAAAGAAAAAAAATTATAAATTAAAAACCCATGTGTATTTTCTATTATATTTATGTAGTTATCTTTGTTAGTGCTCTTTATTCTTCATGTGGATTCAATTTATGTCTGGTGTTCTTTTTTTGGGGGGGGGTTGTTCTTTAAGGACTCTAGTAATTCTTGTAGGGTAGGTTTCCTCTAAAGAAATTCTGGGTTTTTTTTTTTTTTTTTTTTAAATCCTAGAATGCCTCATTGTTCCTTCATATTTGAGGGATAGTTCTGCATGACACAGAATTCTTACTTTTTTTTTTTTTTTTAATTATTACTCTGAACAGATTGGGGGCACCTGGGTGATTGAGTGTCTGACTCTTGATTTTGGCTCAGGTCATGCTCTCAGGGTCATGAGTTAGAGCCCTGCATCTGGCTCCATGTTGGGTGTGGAGCCTGCTTAAGATTACCTCTCTCCCTCTGCCCTTCCCCATCCCCAAACACAAGTGCTCTCTTTCAGCAAACAAACCAAACAAACCTCTGAACAGGCCATTCAAATGCATTCTGACCTGTGTGTGTATGTTGGGGCAAACCTTCAGGAACCAGCCAGACAAACGACAATTCTTCTTGATTGTGCAGAGCCCCAAGATCAGCCAGGATTGAGAAGTTAGTGCCTTCTTAGGTCTTTCCTGGGCATGAGCACAGCTGTACACGGCCCTAGACATGTATGCAGCCTTCTAGATTTCCAAGAATATGTCAGAGCTTTTCAATACTCCATGAAGATCTCATTTCTCAGCTTTTCCTTTTAAGTGTTTTAGTTTAGTTTTCCCCTGTGGTTATGCACCACCTCAGGCAGCCTGAGGAAAAGGCTTTCAGCTTTTTAGACTAGGCAGAGTGCTAAGTCAGAAAGAACTCTGTAAGTGGGATCTTCCAGGAAACCAAAGAAAGAGAATTCTCTGGGAATGAAGCTTTGAAGGAGCTCGAATCCCAATCTACTCTAAGTGGCTGTCAGGCACCTGGTTTTCAGTTACCATCGAGGTGGAGAATGATATGGGAACAGGGAATGCCTGAAGCTTACTGTTCTGATGTTCAGCTGTTTTTTTAAATATTTATTCCCTGAATTACTTTAAGCTTTTACCTTAATTTCCAGAGTCTGATAATTTTGCTCTTTTTTTTGGAGGTCTTTATTTTTTTTGATGTCAGGTTTTCTTTTTTTAAAAAATGCTAATAAGTAAGTTTACCAGCTAATTTCGGCAACTGTGTGTTAATAGCAGCTATAACTACCATGACAACAAGCACATAAGAACAGTATCTCCTAAGGTCATTTTAATCAAATGAAATCCAGACTAAAGTTAAGCCATTCATTAGGTTACCGAGATGCATAATGAGCATGCTGCATAGAAACTGGTTAATAATTAAGTGGTTAAAAGAACCCCACTAATTAACATTACTTTAATATAGCAAAAGGCATTTCCAAGGTCAGGTGGGGACAAAGGAAAGAGGAACTATCATCATTAGGAGACAGAGCTAGATTTTCTCTCTGGGAGTGCAACCTTGACAACAAGAGATCCTCTTCTTTGCCTGCACTCATCATCTCTGAATTAAATAATAGAATAATGAGTTCTTGCCCCTTGCTTACCCTCAGTAGTCCTACATTCCATAAGCTCCATGAGAACAGGTACCCTTATCTGTCCTGTTCACGATATATCTCCAGGCAAAGTTCAGTCTCTCACATAGTGGAATATTAGAAATTTTTGATGAATGAGTGACGCTGACAGCCAGAATCAAGCAGCCTCAAACAAAGAAACAGGAAAGGTATTTGTCATCTTGGCTGAGAAGCTGTTTGGAAAAATATCTCATTACTCAGCTTCCCCCAACTTTGGCTTCTCAGTGGAGTCTGAGGCAAAAGCTGCTCCCCTTGGCCCAGGCTCTCAACACCTGACCCAGAAAGTGGAACGCCTGGGTGGCTCGGTGGTTTAGTGCCGCCTTTGGCCCAGGGCATGATCCTGGAGTCCTGGGATCGAGTCCCGTGTCGGGCTCCCTGCATGGAGCCTGCTTTTCCCTCTGCCTGTGTCTCTGCCTCTCTCTCTCTCTCTCTGTGTCTCTCATGAATAAAATAAAAATCTTAAAAAAAGAAAAAGCAATCAGTACTAGGAAAAGCTCCTGTTTTTATGTGAATTTAGTGTGGAATTTGCTTACAACACAGTATTTACGGGGAAAAAAGTTTTAAGGCCACATTTATCTGGCTCCAGAATCCATGTTTTCTTCATTGAACCACACAATCTCTAGCCCTTTAGGCTTATTCTTTTGGTAGAGACAAATACAACTGTCAGTCAAATAGCTCAACTGATATCCTTTCACATCTAAATTCTGTAATTTAGATTAAGAATCTAGACCAGTCCCTGAGCACAGATTCTATATGCATCAAGCAATTTTCAGATTAGAGTCTAGCTTCTAGACTAGACTCTAATCAGAAATTTTAGGAGAATCATGCTGCCCATGCCAGAAAGAGACTTTGATCCCTGTGGCACTTCTAGTTCTCTCTGTAAACTGGCAACTGGTTTTTAAGTGTTACACCCCTATGAGTGGGTTCCCAAGTCTCCCACAGAAGTAATCAACTCCACCCCGACTCCCCTCTCCCCATGGATGAGTATATGAACAACCAAGGCTGAGGAATACGGTGAGGTCTCTTGGCAGTCAGCCAGTTCCTGGGACCATCACTCTCAACCCTCAGCCCACACACTTTGAAAGGGTTCCCAAACTGTGCTACAGGGTGCCTTGACCTAGGACACAAACATGAAATCTTATTCTGCCTTCATAATCAGAGGGAATGATGCCTTAAAATAACAGTAACATGCCCTTGAAACTCTTATCAACACATGACTAAGCACATCATCCCTGAGAGGTCACATCCAGAACTGACCAGGCTAGAGACTAGATCCAGAGGAAAAGCAGCACCATCTCCTTCCTCCATTCAGTAATCAGCAGAATCCATGGAAAAGGATGCTGAATCGAGGATCAGAAGGCACAATCCCAATTCCAGAGCTACCCTAGTCAGAACACAAATTATTCTATTGGCTTTCTTATTTCTAAGACATAGTCAATAGATGGCCTAGTTACTGCTTTTTAGTATTGTCTCATTATTTTCATAATGTTAAGAAAACAAATGGATGTGACTCTGCCTGCCTGCACAGAAAATGAGTCAGATCCAGGTTCCCTTATCAACTCGACCTTGACCTTGAACTAAACGCTTTCTCAGGGTCCAATTTCCTTTGCATATAAAATGAACATGGTGTTAAATCTCTTAAAACATTATGAAAACATTTAGGAGGCCAAATGTGAAATAAAGTACTTTAAATAAAGCAGGATGAAGTTAAAAAACAGGCAAGGCATAGCTGGTGGTTATAAAAATAATCATGTCAAGACTTGATATAGCTAAGCTCTTTGAGAGGAAAGGTCAAATGAAAAACTATGAAAGAAAGTTATTTTCAACTCTGCAACACCTTCTGAGATGAGGAGGACTGGAATGTTTCCCCACTTAGTCAGATAAGCCCTAAATTAATACACATTTTACTTTTCCCAAGGCTTCTCTAAGTCCAGCCTGCCGGTCTTCCAAAGTCTACTGCACCAAAGTCTACTGCATCGTTACAAGGAATGCCAATGAACAATGGAACCTGAGTAACTGGAGTGTGGACTTTTAAGTCAAAATATACTTTTTTCATATGCAAATGATCTGAAGAAGTGCCAGCCCCTATAGAAACTGTTGCTAATAAACTACCACCTAGTTTTCAAAGCACATCAGGGTAAATTATCCCTCAATGACTTTGTGAGTAAATAAGGCAAGCACTTTTATTTTCACCTGACTTGTGAGGAATTGGGAGTTCAGAAAGGCCACCTAACTTGCCAAAAGTCATAGTGTCACACCTTGGCAGCACTGGGCTCATAGTCCCAATCTGGCACGAATCCCAAGATTTTTTTTTTTAAAGATTTATTTATTTACTTATGATAGACACACGGGGGGGGGGGGGGCGCAGAGACACAGGAGGAAGGAGAAGCAGGCTCCATGCTGGGAGCCCGACACGGGACTCGATCCTGAGACCCCAGGATCGCGCCCTGGGCCAAAGGCAGGCGCCAAACCGCTGAGCCACCCAGGGATCCCGAATCCCAAGATTTTTAACATTTTTACCTGGTACTGTCTGTCCTCTGTGACCCTGTAGTTCTTGACCTGCGTGAAGATCCTCTCATCCTTCTGGATCTCACTGGTCCCACGTTATGGTCTGATGGAGGTCTCAGGAATTCCAGCATGCCATGAAGTCTCTGCAGCCCACTGATGAAGCTGTTCATTGAATCCAATGAAGACACTTGGACAGGGTGGTTAACACGAGATCGCTGACTATGCTCCTCCAAAGCTCCTGGATTAATGCTCTCCACACGACCTTCTCCCAACAGCTCCCCTTCCTCTGTCAGGCCAACAGAAACGTGTGGAGCAGGCTGGAGCAGGTCCAGCCCCACCTGGCTGCTGGCCTCTCCATCAGGAGCAGGCTGGGGCAGGGGTGGTCCCCCTTGGCTGCTGACCACTTCTGCAGGTAGAGGCTGGAGCACGGGTGGTCCCTCTTGGCTGATGACCACTTCTGCAGGTAGAGGCTGGAGCACGGGTGGTCCCTCTTGGCTGATGACCACTTCTGCAGGTAGAGGCTGGAGCACGGGTGGTCCCTCTAGGCTGATGACCACTTCAGCAGGAACAGGCTGTTCTGCAACATTATGGTCTAACTGCCCATGAAGGTTATATTCCATTGCTTCGTGAGCCATCACTGGGGAAGTAACATTCATAAAAAGTATCAGTAAAATAGATAAAACATGCTATGTCCATGATATAATTATATCTAAGTCTTCTAGAACTTCTGCTTAGGATCATTCTTGGGGGATCCCTGGGTGGCGCAGCGGTTTGGCGCCTGCCTTTGGCTCAGGGCGCGATCCTGGAGACCCGGGATTGAATCCCATATCGGGCTCCCGGTGCATGGAGCCTGCTTCTCCCTCTGCCTGTGTCTCTGCCTCTCTCTCTCTCTCTCTGTGACTATCATAAATAAATAAATTAAAAAAAAAAAAAGATCATTCTTGGGACATCTGGATGGCTCAGTGGTTGAGCATCTGCCTTCGACTCAGGGCGTGATCCAAGATCCTGGGATCAAGTTCCGCATCAGGCTCCCTGCGAGGAGCCTGCTTCTCCCTCTGCCTGTGTCTCTGTCTCTGCCTCTCTCTCTCTCTCTCTCATGAATAAATAAATAAAATCTTAAAAAAAAAATCATTCTTGACAAAATTGAGAATCTTAAAAAAAAATAATTAAAACCCCCTCTAAGTCAGAAGTGTTTGGTAATCAGTAACTTTTTTCTCCATAACAAGTACTTATAACTAGTTTTCCAGTTTGCCCTTTGAAAACATAAAGGCATGTGATCATAGCACTATCTTCTAAAACAGAAAGATCTATGAAATAATAAGACTGAACTTCTGTGTTTGAAAGGAATTTCCCAGACCTCTAGCAGCTTTTTATTGTGACCCAATCAGAGATATTCACTAAAACAAATGCATATAATGCTGTATTTTATTTTTTAAGATTTATTTATTTATTATTTATGAAGGGGGGGTGGGGCAGAGACACAGGAGCACAGGAGGAGGGAAAAGCAGGCTCCATGCCGGGAGCCCAACGTGGGACTCGATCCTCGGACTCCAGGATCATGCCCTGGGCCAAAGGCAGGCGCCAAACCGCTAAGCCACCCAGGGATCCCCCTGTATTTGATTTTAGTAGGCAATATTTAACTTCACAGCACCAAGTTACAAAGGATAAATAGAGAAAGGACACTTTTACAGTTGCAAAATTAACTCAATACTAACTCAAAATTGAAATTTACCTAATTTGTCCAAAAAGGCTGACCAAACTTTATTTGCTCTGTCCTTTTATTTTTGTCTCCCATTTCTAATGCTATTTGTTAGCCCATTTAATAAATACTTATCAAGGGCCTGGCATGTCCCCTTCATTATTTGTTTCTTGTCTCTAATTCCATTATGTTAATCCATTCAAGAAATATTTATTAAATACCTGTTAAGTAGTCAGATACTCTATAGAGATGATGAGAGGATAAAGCTGTGTACAGATTTTACATTCTAGCATATGGGAGAATAAATAAATAAATGTGGGGACTTCTGGGTGGCTCAGCGGTTTAGCGTCTGCCTTCGGCCTAGGGCATGATCCTGGGGTCCTGGGATGGAGTCCTACATCAGGCTCCCTGCATGGAGCCTGCTTCTCCCTCTGCCTAAATCTCTGCCTCTCTCTCTGTATCTTTCATAAACAAACCTTTTAAATAAATAAATAAAGAAAGAAAGAAAAGAAAGAAAGAAAGAAAGAAAGAAAGAAGAAAGAAAAGAAAGAGAAAGAAGAAAGAAAGAAAAGAAAAGAAAAGAAAGAAAAGAAAGAAAGAAAAGAAAAGAAAAGAAAGAAAGAAAGAAAAGAAAGAAAATATATACCCTGCTATTTGTCTTGGGGAGTAGGAGTCAAGGAGTACCATTTTAATAGTAAAAGCCCAGTCGTTGTTATATATGGTTTAGCCACTCAAACAGAGCTCCCAATCAGCTTTCTAGGGGTTCCCTCCTTTAAAAAAAATAGCTAAGGATCAACTGACATTTGAGCAAAGCCTCCAATATGAGAGAAAGAGACCAAAGCAAACAAACAGAAGAAACTTGGAAGGGAAAACAATGCAAGAAAAACTGTAAAAAAAACAAAACAACAAAAACCAAAAACACAAACCCAAACACAGAACAAAAACTCCCCCAAACTTACGAAGAAAAGAATGCCAGGGGGAAAAAGGACAAATCAGAAAACAAGAAAGAGCTCTTGGAAATGAAACATGACAGTCAAAATAAAATATTTACTAGAAAGATTTGAAGATAAAGGAACTCTTCCAGAAAGCAGAGTAAGAGACAATTGAAAAAGGCAGTAATAAAATTAAAATGTGGGACATTTGATGAACTGAACTCCCAGAAAGTGAAGTCAAAGTCGAGAAGAAAGTAAAACAAAACCTTTGGTCAAGATGGAACCATAAGCTCTCTTCCCATTAAGAATTCCAACACAGGGATCCCTGGGTGGCGCAGCGGCTTGGTGCCTGCCTTTGGCCCAGGGCGCGATCCTGGAGACCCAGGATCGAATCCGACGTCGGGCTCCCGGTGCATGGAGCCTGCTTCTCCCTCTGCCTATGTCTCTGCCTCTCTCTCTCTCTGTGACTATCATAAATAAATAAATAAGTAAATAAATAAATAAATAGAATTCCAACACAGAAAAAAAAGAAAAAGAATTCCAACACAGTAAATTTTCTCCAAAATTACATCAAACAGAAAAAAGCAGGTTATATAAAGGAATCTGCTTTAATCCCATTCTTAGGACACTTAGAAACATGCACAACCATGCTATTAACTGGACTTATAAATATACAAGAGTAGGGATCCCTGGGTGGCGCAGCGGTTTGGCGCCTGCCTTTGGCCCAGGGCGCGATCCTGGAGACCCGGGATCGAATCCCACATCGGGCTTCCGGTGCATGGAGCCTGCTTCTCCCTCTGCCTGTGTCTCTGCCTCTCTCTCTCTCTGTGACTATCATAAATAAATAAAAATTAAAAAAAAAAACATTGTTAAAAAAAATAAATATACAAGAGTAGTACAAAACAAGCATGAAAAATAAATTCTGGAGGAGAGTTCAGAAATACACATGGGGCTTCAACTACATATACTTTTTTTTTTTTTTAAGGATGCAATTATATAATTACAGCAAAAGGTCAAGGCCCAGATGTGTTAGATCTAGATGTTGAGTGCACAGGTCTTTTTTTTTTATATATATAATTATTCTCTACACTTTTCACATGGTTAAATATTAGAAAGGAAATTTCTTCCCATCATCTGTCAGTTCTGATTAGAACAATAAGGCAGAGAGCCGATCTCGAGCAGCCTCGGCCTTGACCTCCTCGCGCCAAACAAGCGCGGTCTTCTCCGCGGGCAGCGAGAGTGGCCGCACCAACAGAAACCCCCACGGCGTCACCTTTCCAAGCTTTGTTACTCAGATCGACGTGCGCAACAGGCGGGACGACGGCCGCCAATCAAGCGGCTAAGGCCCGCCCCCGCCCCCCCAACACCTCGTCGAGCCCACTCGGTTCAAATCCCCCCCCCCCGCCCGGCGCGTACCACCCGCGGCACCTTGGGCGGGTTTCCTGGCCGCTCTGTTCATCTTGTTGGCTTCTAAAACCGGGATAATAAGAGTATTTACGCCACAGCGTCGCTGGGAGACGAAGCTGGGTGACAAAGAGCGGGTTCCTCGGTGAACCGGAAAGCAGCGCAAGGAATGGGCGCTCAAGCTCAGAGCGCTGGGACTTGAAGGGTGGGAGGCTGGGCTCCTCCGAGCGCGGCCGGCGGCGGCCTCCCCCCACCTCGGGCGCCTCCCCGAGCAAGCCCGAGAGAGCTCGGGTTCAGGCGCCTCCGGCCCGACGGTTGGGCAACCCGGAGCCGAACCTCCGCAGGCCGCCGGGGTCCGTGCCCGCGCGCGGCTCCGCTCGTGGGGCGTCCTCAGACCCGGCAACCACGAGTCCCGCCCGGGAAGCTATTCTAGAGCCAGAGGCCGAAGGCCCCGACGGAGGCAAGCGCCCATCTTACCTGGGGCTGGGAGGACGCTGCGGGGCTTGCCAAATCGCCGCAGTGGCGGCCGCTTCTTTGAAACAGCTCGCCGGGACGCGGGCCAACAGCCACTTCCTGAGCATCTCAAGCGGCCCGCCTGAGTCGCGGGCGGGGCCTGCTCCTATTGGGCAGCAGTCCTGGACGGCGGCCAATAGCCTCTCTTCTTCTTCGGTTGGTCGCCGCTCCCTGAAAAAGCGGCCCTCTCATTGGCTGGCCCTTCATAAACTGACGTGTGACGGGGTCTCGGACGATTGGTAGAACCCTGCGTCAGTCACCTGGTGCCCAGCCCACAAGGAGGAAAGCGGAACCAGGGTTTCGTCGCTCTTTATTTGAACTTTCTGGCGGGAGAAAGTTGTGAGGATAAGATCTTTCGGGAGCCTGCGGCGCGGGACCATCACGTTCTTGTATATCCTCTCCAGACGTTGAAGAGCTCATGCAAAACAACTGGCCTACACCATATGTCTTTAATCCCCAAAACCATTGCAATAAATTGCCTGCTACTATAAACTATCGTCACGTGACTTAACAGCAAACATTTTTGAGGAATCTCACTGAAAGTCGAAATCCCACTTCCAGGAAGACCTAGGAAATCTAAATCTCAGGCAGAGACTGCACATTGCCAACATTTTATTTACTCAGCTGTCAATTTTCGGTGGAATTGATGGCAGAGGAAGGCATAAATAATTGAAAGTCATGGATAATTCAATTATTTTCTCTTCTGAAACTGCCACTAAAGTCGGTATTAGCATTTTTATTTTTTTCTTCCTTTCTTGCCATCTAAGGAACCTGCTACTAAGCCCTGGCGTGTATAATATGAGGAGAAACGAAACTTTCTTTTGTACACAAACATGTATGTTAGAGAATGAAAAACGTCTGCACTCTTATATAAATCCTGCATGTTCAGTGGAGAAAAAGGGTACAGAGAAGCAAAATAGAAAAATCGTCTCTATCCAGAGAAGTCATCAACTTAAAGTTTTGTTTAAAATCTTCATCTATCTAAATCTATTTCAATATAGGTTGGGATAGTGTTTTAATCTTAAAATATATATTGAATTGCTTCCCATGTTAATGAATGCATTAACACATCATCACATACTGAGTGATTCTTTGAAAAAAAATGAATAAAAATAGGTAAATTATCACATGGTAAATAAATTGGACAAACAGGAAGGGCTACTTTGTGAGAAGTATACACGATGTTTCTAAATGATTCTGATATTGATTCACCCAATGGCCATGTTTACTAGCTAGGAGAGAAACAGAATAAAGATACATGCCAGAAATTTATAGTCTTGTCTCCAACTTCCAAGAGTTATATATAGCTAGAGGGAGAAGGTGTTGGCTATGTCCCATTTTAGGGGGTGATATTCCCACTTTTATGGGTGACTATTTAAATACCAACATGTCTAATGGCTCATTTGTAAAAAGACCAAGAAAATGCACTAAGAATTACTTCATAGAAGAGGTGTTTCGGTGGATGTCTTTTTCTTTTTCTCCACCAAAAGACATGACTAATGAGTTCTATACTGGATGATAATAATTAAGGCCTGAATGTAATTTCAAGTGTAAAATTTGGAAGAATTATCAAAGTTAAACAGAAGATGCTAAAAGAGAGTTTTAGTGGAAAACTTTATCCTCAGGCTCTGAGGAAAGTCATTAATTTTCCTCTACCATTATGAGTACCATCATTCATTCACTCATTCAGTCAGCAAATATTTGTTCAACAATTACTGTAATCTTGGCTCTGGTCTGTATACTATGGATATGGTATATGAGACAGAGAAGACCCTTGACCTACTAGAACTTCTAGGGCACTTGAGTGGCTCAGTTGGTTGAGCTTCTGACTCCTGATTTCCGCTCAGGTCATGATCACAGGGTTGTGAGATCAAGCGCTGCTCTCCGTGCTGGACATGGATCTGCGTAAGATTCTCTTTCATCGTCTCCCTCTGCTCTCCACTCGTGTTCATGTGCTCACTCTCTCTCTCAATAAAAGAAAAGAATTAGGGATCCCTGGGTGGCGCAGTGGTTTGGCGCCTGTGTTTGGCCCAGGGCGCGATCCTGGAGACCCGGAATCGAATCCCATGTCGGGCTCCCGGTGCATGGAGCCTGCTTCTCCCTCTGCCTGTGTCTCTGCCTCTCTCTCTCTCTGTATGACTATCGTAAATAAAATTTAAAAAATTAAAATACCAGCAAATATCTTTAAAAAAAAAGAAAATTAGCATCATAAATGATGTTTGGAGATAGGTTTTTTTTTTTTTTTTAAAGAAAAAGGTGGGAATTTCACCCCTAAAAACAAAATAAAGATACAAGCCAGAAAAACAAAACAAAAAACTCTTCTATCTTCCTAAGGAGAGGCAAATCATCAACCAATAATCAAGAATAAATTAGATAATCTCAAGTAGTAAGTATCATAAAAACAGCAAAACAGAGGGACATGGGTGGGAAGTGCTTAGGAAAGTTACTTTCAATTGAGGGGTCAGACAGGACTGTCTGAGGTGCTGATATTACCGCTGACATCTGTCCACTTTAGAGGAACAGTTTGAGAAATGGTGCACAGTCCATAAATGACCATAATAAAAAATACAGTAAGGGAAGTGCTGTGATACGTATGATAGTGCCCCAGATAATACAACTGGATAGGACTTCAGGACACCCAGGTTCTCTCTCTCCTCCCCCAACCAACAACTTAATATCTATAAGGTGCTGCCCATTTTTGGATCTCATTGTTTTTATTTTTAAAAATATTTTATTTATTTATTTCAGAGAGGAATGAGGTGGGCAAAGGGAAAGGAAGAAAATCTCAAGAGACTCTAAGCAGAGCCTGGAGTCAGTCGGGGGCTCTATCCTGCGACCATGAGATCATGACCTGAGCCAAAACCAAGAGTCTGATACCTAACCAGCTGAACTACCCAGGCACCCCTGGATCTCATTTTTTTGCATGGCAAAATTAGGTAGCTGGACTCAAATGAAAACCTCTTTAAGTGCAGGAAATCTATGAAACTGCAAAATAATGCAGAGTTTCAAAACAGTTTGGGGGAAAAGAATGATCTCCTTACCAAATATTGACAACCGGAACAGTGTTGTCCTGAAGTCTTTTTGCTGATTCCCATAGCAAAAAGATCATAGGCTTTAATGTAAATTCTAAAACGATGTCACTTCTGGAAGAGGGGCACCTACGTGGCTCAGGGTTTGAGCATCTGCCTTTGGTTCAGGTCGTGATCCCTGGGTCTGGGGATTGAGTCCTGCATCAGGCTCCCGGCAGAGAGCCTGCTCTCCCTCTGCCTATGTCTCTGCCTCTCTCTGTGTGTCTCTCATGAATAAATAAATAAAACTTAAAAAGAAAAAGACTTCTGGAAGAGAGCAGGAGAAAATCTTCATGACCTTAGGTTAGGCAAGGATTTTTTTAGAATTGACCCCCAGGTACATGATTCATAAAAGCAAAAATTGATAAATTGCATTACATCAAAATTTAAAACTCTACTCTTCAAAAGGCATTGTTAAGAAAATGAAAAGACGAACTGCGTACAGGTGGAAAATATTTGCAAATTATTTATCTGAAAGAGGGCTTGTATCCACAATACACAGAGAACTCTCAAAACTCAATAGCGAAACAAAACAACCAGATTTAAATATGGGCAAAAGGTTTGAATAGACACTTCACCAAAGAAGAGGTATAGATAACAAATGAAATGAAAGGCTACTTGACATTATTATTAAATCATTAAGGAGATGCAGACTAAAGGCTCAGTGAGATACCACTCATCATGTGCTTATTAGAATTGCCAAATTATAAAGCCTGGCCATACCAAATGTTGGCAAGGATATAGAGGACTAGAACTCTTCTATACTCCCAGTGGAATGGAAAATGGCACAACCATTTTGCAAAAACAGTTTGACAGTTTCTTTAAATGTACACCTACCATATGATCCAGCTATATTTTCCTAGTTATTTACCCAAGAGAAATTTATTATTATTATTATTTTGCTAAATATTTTATTATTTATTCATGAGAAACACACACACAGAAAGAAGGCAGAAACACAGGCATAGGGAAAAGCAGGCTCCATGCAGGGAGCCTGACATGGGACTCGATCCCCAGTCTCCAGGATCACACCCTGGGCTGGAGGCAGCACTACACCGCTGAGCCACCGTGGCTGCCCTACCCAAGAGAAATTCAAGCATATGTTCAAATAAAGACACCTGAAAGTTCATAGCAGCCTTATTTGTAAATGCCAAAAATGATAAACAACTCAACTTTTCATCAACAGGTGAAAAATAAATTATGTTAAATCCATACATTGCAATCATTTTCAACAGTCAAAAGGAATGAATTACCAAGACATGCAACTACAGGGATGAATCTCAAAATAATTATATTGAGTAAAAGAAAGCAAACTTTTGTACACCGTATGATTTCATTTAAATAGAACTTTAAAATGTATACTAATCTATAGTGAAAGAAAGCAGATCAGTGGTTGCTTGGTGGGGGGAGTGGAAGGCAGTGATTTTAAAGGAGCATGAGGACACTTTGGGATTTGATGGGTATATTTGTTATGTTGGTTGTGCTGGTATAAAGATACATCAAAACTTACCAAATTGTACACATTAAGTATTATTGTTTGTGTGACAATAATACCTCAAAAATGCTGTTAAAAATCAGAATTGTGGGGCAGGAGTGGGTTGTATGGGCATAATGGAATTTTCTGGCATGATAACGTTTATTATCTTGATGGAGTTTGGGTTACTCGTGTGTGTGTACATTTGGCAAAACTCATCAAGTGATATATTTAAGATTTGTGCATTTCACAACATGGAAAATTTAGCTGCCCACCCTCCCCCACAAAACCCCATAAACAATCATTGAACTCCAGTTCATGACAGAAATGCTGAAGTGTTTAGAAACAAAGTGTACTGATATTTGATATTTTCTTTTAAATGCATGAAAATTAGAATGGATTAGGGACTCCTGGGTGGTTCAGTTGGTTAAGTGTCCAACTCTTGGTTTCAGCTCAGGTCATGATCTCAGGGTTGTGAGATCTAGCCCGGTGACTGGCTCCATGCTGGGTGTGGA